GCAATAGCGACTCTAAGCATCGAACACGATTTTTCTGAGGAAGAACGAAATAAAAGGTATTTTGTCATACTTGACGCCAACACTTGAAAGTTTTAAAAGTGTCAATCAGACCGATCCGCGGGGCAGTCTACAATGAATCGCAAGTACAGATACAGACTTGCAAGTGTGGTCCAGACCAATGGTGTAGCTGCGTTCGCATGGGCCCCGGTTCCGGTCCAAATAGAGTCCTTCAGAGTTGGTCAAAATTTAATCGATTCCTGATTATAAATTATACAAGTTGAGATTACTTCTATTGGAATTGGAATTGTGCTCAACTTCAAAGATGATTAAAGTGCATTGTGATAATTAGATATAATAATTACAATAATCTGTAATCGTAGACTGGTATGATTATATTTTGAATTACTGATCTTGAAATAAAGACCGATAATGACACTTTATATGTGAGAGTGCGATGGTGCTTCTATCTTGTTTTTTAATTTATATTTTCAGCAACAGAAAGCGAAGCATGTTTCTTACACTCTTAGTATAACATGATGTGTAATTTGAAAGGCGGCTTTTCAAACGGGAGAATCCTTATGACGTACGCTTGGAAAATTGAAACTCTCGAGTGGATAGCTATGTACCAACAATCCACTTCTGTCTTAATTTGAAGCAGTAAAAACTGTATGTGACGTGTGAGAGAGAAGTAACACCTGCTCACGTTTTCTTGAGCTCCAGAATCTCTTTGCAACATTTTAACTATGTGTAGAGAATGATAAATATAAGTTTAAAAAAACGGCGTTAGCATCTTTTGTAAACTAGACATTACCCACCCCCAGAGTTAGTTGCATCGATAAACAAACTGCAGATTTTATTTTTTTGTTTTACTACTAAAATATTAAGATAACCCCGGCTCTACTCCTACCACTACTAGCAAAGGTTGAGCGCAACAAGACGTGCATAGTGAGGATCGATGGAAGATCTTTTTTAATCGAAGAATACTTTATTGGTGAAGGTGGTAACTGATAATTTTGAATGAACCATACTTGTTTCCAGTGTGTTTGAAGTCACAAAGAGTATTTTAGGTGGCCGCAGCGCGACCAGTTGACAAGTGCAATATGTTATTAGCTAAGAAACAAAATATACGTAACTAATAAACATAGTTATAATTTGAGAACGCAAAATAAACGTTTACTATTTTATTTACTGATATGAATAGAGTACGTTTTTGCAGTAGTTTTCTGAAACAAAAAATACTAGTATATATTTTGAAAACATTTTTAGGTGATGAGAGTCACCTGATAATTATATACGGTTAATATGTACCTTTCTATGTGACTATGTGGTGAAATGTATAAAACTAACCGTACTTGCACAGCACATAATTTCTCGCACTGTTTGTAATTCTTGCAACTCTCTAAACTTCAGATTGTTCAATGAAAATGCGATCTGTGCCATTTTTTGAGTGTCCTTTTTTTATCCGAGGGGAAAATTTTAAGAAAAATTTTGGAGCCGTTGTTTAGAAAAATATTTGCCTTCACTTCAAGCAAAAGTTATGCGAAAATATAAATTAAAAGAAATCAGTTCAAAAAGCTAGAAATTATTTACAACTATGAAGATAAAGAGAGATTAATAATATTATTGGTTTCTATTTGTGTTTCTGTGCATTTCATTGCAATACTGTTTAGATGTCTCTTTCATGTTCTAAATTGTTATTATTGTACGTTTTGTAGACATTATGTTAAAACTGTTAAAGGAATTTTACGTGATGTAAACATCAGTGCCATTCAAGCAATGATTATTATGATGTGACTTTTCTTTCGAAAGAAATGGACAGAAGTTCCCTGCCCTCTTCTGTAATAAAAGGCAATTTGATGTTATAAAAGTTTGTGTGCTTAAGTGGCAAGGATTTCAATGCAGATGGGTCCTATGTATTAATCTAAATTGAACGTATTAGGATTTATTCATTAACAAGAAAGGATCTCAACATCTGATAATATTATGTAAGTCAGGGCAAGAATCATTACTACTACAAACTTTATATTGTAATAGAAAAAATGTAGGCTACTAGACTCGTATTTATTCTATGACATTTCAGAAATTTTGTACATATTGAGAATTATTACTTTAACAACTAAACTATTGCAAAGGAGGAATGCACAGCAATTTTTATTGTCTTTTTGGCTTACAATAATCTGGATAAGAAACTTCTTTGACCAGAGATATTGTCAGCTTGTGCACCTAAACTCAAAGTTGATCCATATAACAAAATATCAAGGGAATTGGAGAAAATTGGAGAAATTGTCCCTGAATTATATAAAAATTCACTTTCAAAACACAAATTTTAAATTACTCAAAATTAATTATGTTAAACAAGTGACTATTACACACATTGAGTGATGTACTTAATATGTTTTCTTGTTTGTTTTAAAACTTTCCTCTTAGTTAATTTATTAACACGTACTGAGAAACGGACACACACACACACAAGCATTCATCCCTGTGTATAGCACTAGCACACTTTCACTACTTACACCAGGCATGCATATCATTTTGCACTTTGACTGACCTCGAGCAACTTCAGTGCAAAGCCAGGCCGCATGGATGGGTGGGCATATGACTTATTCTAGGAGTGGGGACTGCCTATGAGAAAACGCAATTCGAACAGTGGCGCGTAAATTGCAAGAGCAATTGCGAGAATATGACGGACTATTACATACAGTTGGAGTATCAATATCTTTTGTTTTGGAAATGTTTGTTATCGATGTATGACCCTGTGAAGTATCAACCTAAAACAAATTAGACGTACATATTTGATTTGGATACCCGTATGTTAATTACTTGTAAGGCTAATAATGTAATTTACTTTGCTACGATGTAATCAGATATTTAGCGTGCTGCATCATGCAAAATTGCATTATTAAATACTTTTTCATTGATGATGGGAGTAATAAATTATTTTTCCATTAACAATGTTTAATTCATTAGGACGGTTCTATCAAATATTTTCCTACGGTAGCGCTTGGGAGGGGGGGGGGAGGCACATGCGCCCGAGTTGCGGTGCGAGCCGCTCGCTTCCCGGCCGCCCGAATCGGGTTTCGGGTCGAGACCGGCGCAGCCGCGAACGTTCCGAAAGCAAACGGCCACATTATTCGTATGCTGGCGGTGAAGGGGAGACGCTTTTTGAATAGGGAAACCAAAGAGGGGACGCACGAAGGCGACGCTTGCAAGTATTTTGTGGTGACGATCCCTAGCGTGTTTGGGCTAATAGAGGCCATCACGCAGTCTTGTTATGTAGTCTTGCAGGTCACGCCAAGTCACGCCAAGCTACTAGGGGATGAGCGAGCCCGCCAACAACACCGTTGCCGGCTTAGGTTGCTCAGGGCATCAACTGACGTCACTGCAGGGCCTCTGACTGGGAGGTTCTAGGGTTCGAGTCCCGACTCCTTGCCTACTGCTCGCCGACTTTGCTTTTTATCCGCGTGCAAAATTATCCGCGAACATCAGGAGTCCCCAACCCATAATTTCCATTATCTTTTGTGCTAAAAGGGACGCATCATTGACGTACAAGCCGAAGAACATGCGAAAAAGAGCGCTCCCCTAGGGCAACCCTTCTCGGAGCGACATAAGAACGAATTAAATCGCACTCTGAAGGTTCTATCTGTGAGAAAACTGCCGATCAGTCTAATGAGCCTGTTGTTTATTCTTGACTCAGTGAGACATAAGAGTAGTCTTCCTGCCACACCATGACGAAGGCTGACCGCATGTTCACTTGCTTCAACCACTTCAGCCCGCGAGAAAGGGCTCAGGGCATCAACTGATGTCACTGCAATGCCTCTGTTGGGTTTAATCACCAACGGTGGCAGAATTTTCGACATTAGGTCGACAGCAAGGTCAAATTCAACCGCTGTCTGGAGGAGAATTCTAGCGGCCGACTGCTCTGCTCGGTAATTGTCCGTGGGTTCTCCGAACAACACCAGGCGAATGCCGGAGCAGTATCCTAACAAATAGGCCATGCCCCGCGCGCGATTCTTCCTTGTCCTATCCTAACCCTTACTTATACACTCGTGTACTTCACTACCCCACATGACGGGAGACCGGTCGGGAGCTTAGAGCTTGATCCGGCTGGGGCGGTGTCCTACTGTGGGAGATACCCGGTTGGGGAAATATCCGCGAGCCGACCTAGGGCCGGTGCCGAAACTCGCCAGGCAGCAGGGAAAGATCACCGCCACCTCCCACGCTTAAAACATGAGCTACACAAACGGGACTTATCAGTTGACGCGCCCGAAATCAGTAATCAATCAATTGGTGAGTTATGAGAGTATGATATTTTCAATTGCATTTAAATGCAAGTTTTTTATATGATTTTGTATGATCAACATATTTTCTAGTTATACAGGTATAGCTTTTACCAGAATATCTTTGTTTCTTTCGTACTTTATATCTTTGCATAACTTCATGATTGTCGTATAATAGTATAACTTCATGCTGGTCGCATAAAGTGTTTATTTGAATTCATAATGCTTCCAATGAGCGTGGAAAGATCTAGATTTCAGAATATTAGCTTCCTGAGCTGACGTGTCTGAACGTTGCTCTTCAGATGGGGAGAGCAACGATTGTGAATAAAAAACTTTACCGTACGAGAATGGCTCTCGAAACTCAATTCACAAATTCAACTCGTGCTTCTTATTCCGGTGGAAATAAAGTGAAAAGTTGCAAATTATGATTGAATGCGCTCTTTAATTGTTTATATTATTTTTATAACGTATTATGTAAACATTACTTTCCCAGATGAGCTACTCAATGTCAGCAAATAAGATGTAGTTTGAAAGCTGGAAGTCCCCGATGTCTACGTGTAGTTTACATTTTTGTGTGTTTTATAATCATTGATAATATTAAAAAAAATATTTTTTTGATATGTCAACAACATGCAGACATAGCAGCAGAGGGCGAGGAGCAGGTAGTGTTTGAACAGACTGGGGTAGAGCAGGGCAAAGCAGAGCAGACCACACCAGGCCATGCCATGCCAGACTAGGGAGACATTCTATAGACAGAGTGCATTCATTTTCCTGTCGGAATGGATGAATATGGACATAAACATCCGGACAACTAAAATAATTCTGCTTTAATCTTTCAGAGCGATTTATTCGCATGGGTTTCCACAAGTAATGTTTCTTAATACAAGTCACTGTCAAATATGTCAATAGGTACTGTTTCAATCATTGGCATTAGCAAATAAATTGATTCTGAAAATCATATATTTCTTGGGCAACAAATATATGTAAAGAATTTGTACTAATGTGTTCTGTTTTGTGTTTTATGCTTCATATAATATTTTTGCAGGTTCAACATGTGCTATTTGTATCGTCTTTTGTTTCTTCTGATCTGGGGCACTTCTTTCGTTCTTGGGATACCAAGAGATCTTTTGTATAATTATGGGCCTACAGAGGATGATAAGGTCCTAAAAGGACATTCAGTATCCAGTACTGATGTTCATCTAGAAGTGCCAATTGTGTTCTACGGGGAAACTTATGATTATATTTTTGTAAGTATTATCGTACGTTTTTATGGCATTGCTTTCCTTTTGAGGTCTGCGTGAAGCGAGAAACTAAAAACGTACCTTAATGACAATCTATTGCACATCGCTCACTTTCACTTGTAATTGTGCACACAATTGTGTTTGGAATACTATATGCACTGAAATCGTTATATTTTCGCTTATTATTAATTTATTATTATGAAAACAAATTGAAATTGCTGAAATCACACCAACGTGTTTCTTTTTGCAAAGAATATTCGTATCAGCGATGGGAACAGTTCTTCCGTTCCGAATGCCCAAGAGCATATACACAAACTAATGACGCTGTAACTGCACATAATTTCTCGCATTATTTACAACGGCTGTGTAATACAACTAAACATGCAAAATTGTTTTCAAATAGCATTTTTTTATTATTCATACCGTGATTTGTAAACGGTTTCGTAGGTTCAGCACGGCATTGACATTACCCCTAAACCACCAGCCTCATAGGTGAAACAATCATCTCAATGCTTTAAAAATAAAGAGAACATTTGCGTTTACAATAAAAAAACAACTTTTTACAATGAATTCTCGGCTATCCGGGAGACGCCGCGTCGTTGGCTGGGGTGCCGACGTTTCGCCTGACATGTCGCAGGCTTCCTCAGGGCAGTGACACTCCGGATAGTGACACCGCGGCGTCTCCCGGATAGCCGAGAATTCATGGATTCGAGTCGCGGAAGCTTACGTATACAGCTTTTTACAATGCCATTATACACAGATTTAATTTAAAAGACGTAACAGATTAAGTTACAACTAAAATCGTTTATCTTCAGTATTGTAGTGGTGGAAAGACGCCGAAAAGTTTAATATTTTCAATTTTGGAAAATGCAGAATATATCGAAATGAGACGTACCCATTTTATAAGCGTATTTTGCTCTATCTGTGATAAAATTTAACCCACATATTTGAAGACATTTTTGAGAAAATTTTGAAAATAATGTAGTAATAGTATAAGGTACACCTAATAAAAATAAAAATTGATTTCAAATTCGTAGAACCTCGAGTTCAGGCAGATCGATTGGGGAATGTCAGTTTTCATGAAAATAGTCTGAACGGTGTACGCGCTGGTGTTGTACAGAAACAGATGGAAAGACAGACGTTTTGCCGTAAACAACTTTACTTACATATTGGCGAAACCACTGCAAATAATGCCAGAAAATATATGCCGATGTGTAACCTCTAGCTTCTATATTTTTCTCAGATAGAGCAAAGTAGATTTATACAATTGGGGCAGGTACACCGCTATTCGATTTTTCTGAATTTTTTAAATCTGCGAAGTTAAAAACAATTTCTGCGCCTTCTTATAGTAGCAATATTGAAGATTATTATTTTTCTTCATGAACTCTCTTCTTCAAAATTTTATCATTAAATAAGATCATGTATAATTTTTTAAAAATGTAAGTAGTTATTGGATAATTTTGTGTGAAATATTGGCAATTGTAAAGAGATATGGAAATAAAATTTACTCGAAATCCCTTCATTTTCTTCCCTTAAGTATATTTCGAATACTACAAAGTACGCTTATAAAAGTTGGGCGTATTCTATTTTCATTGAACTCTTTGAAATTTCCTTAATTGCAAAAGTGTAATTTTTTCGGCGTCTTCACACAACTACATTATAGAGAACAGAGATTCATTTTCCTGAAATAAATCTGATCTTCACGATTAACTCTTGAAATAAAGGGAAATATTCTTTTGAAAATTGGAGTTTTTATGTATATTTGAGTGCCTATTGTAAGTAATGCGAGAAAGTATGTGTAGTTGAAACATTACTAGTTATTTAAGGAACCTACTGTCACTGATGGCAAATATAGAAACAATGGAAACATATTTAAGTAAAGAATGTGAAAGCCATGCAAGCATTCTTAAACAATGTAATATTTTCGAGAGCAGATGTGTAAATCTTCCTGTTGGCGAGGTCCATTAAGAAACGGAGAGAGGATCTTAAAAAAAAGCGAACGCGTTTCCTGATGGGTAGGCAATTTGCCATTCACATACGTAAGGTAGTGGCCTCAGCAGGCGTCTGTCTGCAAATGTCTACAAGATTAGGTCTACTGACTTACTACGGTCAAATGATACACACGTATGTGCCCGTATTTACAATTATAGGCCAAGCATGTTTGAGAGAAAGACGCTCTCAATAGGCACCTAGTAGAAACGTAATTGATTGAACGAGATGTCTATTAGGGGAGGTTAACATTATATTATAAAAGTAGTGAGGTCGATAAAGAGCATAAATTATTTGGCCTATCGTTGCAAATTGTGGCATATACGAGTTGTACTATGTGACAGTGCATAATATAGTACATAATCGAATATAATTTACATGCCTTTAATTTTTCTTTTCAGGTTAATACACATGGACTTATATCATTTCTAACGGACATACCAGGTTTTGTGAATATTCAGTTCCCTTTGGATTATCCTGTCATAGCGCCGTTTTATGCAAATGTGGATATTAAGAACACCGGGAACGTGTATTTCAGGTTTGTTATCAAATTGTCTTTTTAAAGAACTTTCAATTATATAGCACAGAAGTTCATAGATTTTATTCCCTCCTTACTGCATACTTTCGTAGGAAAAAGTAAGTAGAGTAATGCTGCAGCGGAAAGTCGAGATTTTTCGTCAGAAAAAACTGGTATTGTGGAACCCTAATAACGAAAAAGTGGATAAAGCTTGTACCTATACGTAGTTAATGACATTCTGAAACGCATTGTGTAGTCAGAATCCACAATTTTGAGATCACTGGTTCCGAAAAATTGTTGTACGGTAAAATGTATGAATGTCTATCCCATCCCGATCAGATTGTTCGTCCTCTTTCCCTAATTTCTTAAACAAATACTGTGATCTCTCCATGTTTTTCTTGTGGACATAAATGTGTCTTCACTATGAACATATTTCGTTGAGTTCCTCGTCTGCTACATGTTGAAGGAGTAGAGTCGGGGTTTATTTTGCTATTCAGTAAGCAATACCAAAAAATCAAATCTGTAGATGCATGTACGTTTTTTATAGCACGGGAGTGAAAAGTCTAGTTTTCAATTGTTGCTAATCTCGTTTTGTTGTTACTTTTATTCATCATATGATGAAAAGCAGTAAAAAGATTCTGGAGCTCAAGAAAACGTGCGCAAATTTTACTTCTCATCTACACAGGTTTTACTGTTCTTTGACGAAAACAAATCAAATCAACCATACCACTAGTGTCTACACTGTTCAGAGAATTTTCTTCAAAACTGACATTCCCAGACCGAGCGGAACTCGATCCCCTGCATTAATAAATTGGATATTTTGGATATATATTACATGGTGCAATATTTTCAAACTTTTCGAATAAAGCAGATCATTTTTTTTCACCGTTTTCCTACAAGTACAATATTGAGGAATCTTTTCTTCAAAGACAGATCTTTAAAAAAAGGTCGTGTACAATTTTTTCGCGCACTTTCCCATGAAATATAGATAAATCTAAAACAAAACATTTAAAAAAAGGGTTTTTTAATCAGAGCAAAGTATGCCTTTAAAAATAATGCAGATTTTATTTTGTGTTGAAATATCTGCATTTACGAAAATCACAAAAGTTACAAAAAATGCAAGAAAATGTGTGATGTTGTAGCACCATTGATTTCAACGTGAAGTGACATGTAGGGACGAGAAAAGGTGGGAAAGAGAAATAAACCTCGTCTGGATGTGAGTGTTCAATTTATGTAGTCCAAGAAAATTTGTGTTTATTTACCCTGAATACGTTTATAATCGTTTGAGATGGTAAAGTTGATCATTTATCTCAAGCAGTAAATGATGATCTTGATTGCTCAGAAAAATGTATGTAATTTTGTTGTATTGCAGAGAAACAAAGAACGATGCTCTTCTGAAAAGAGCTACAGACAGAATTCGCAGTGCTTTTTCTTCTGGTAAATTCTTTACTGCTACTAGTTTGTTCATCACCACATGGAATGAAGTAGGCTACTACAATCTCGGAAGTGATAAGGTGAGTGTTCATGAAGTAAGTGAGATTCAATGTAACTACATGGTGAACTGAGATTAATTTCAGGTAGGTAGGCGTAGATGTAAGTGTGGGTGGGGGAATTAAGAGCAAAGCACGCTCTTCCCGAGTCTCACTCCTCTTTTCTCTTGCGCGTTCCAAGACATTGAAGATGCGGCTCAAACATAAAAAAGTTCTTAGAACCACGATTGCTTGGAAATATTTAAGTAATATTTATATTTTTAATAGAATGCTGAATGTAAATGGCGTCGCAATGCACGAGCTGCATTTACCACGATTGTCGTTTTCTCGAGTTTATACTAATCCGCCATTTCACCTGCCTTAGTTTTTTCGTCAACGCCTATTTTAAAGGTAACACAAGTATTTTAAAAACTTCGACGAGTGCAATGTTTGAGGAACAGCTATGACAAGGACTCCTTTCTGGAGTAAGTAAAACAAATGCCCTACCTTCTAGCAGTTCTATAATGTTCAATCACCTGTATCAGTTCTGAAAGCAGACGGAGCAGTCTGTAAGTCTGAGAAAACTAAGTGGTGTCCTAACTTATGGAGATATTTAAGAGCAACGCTCATTTAGTTTGGATGTGTTAACTTAATGACGTATACTGATATTTTTCCGTAATACATTGAATAGGTTTTTCCATATATATGAAGAGTTTGTGAAAGAAACAAGTCATTCTGAATTTGTTTATATTTCGTATCAAATAAGGCATGCAGGCATTTACCAATTTCCTTAAATATTCTCTTACGTACAAGGAAGTATTAAGTCACAGAACTGAAATCTTTCCGATTCTATATCAAAATTTTTAAAAAAAAGTATTTAACTAAGGTCAAAAACAGGTAAACGTTGTATGTGGCAGTTAAAGGAGAAGTGCTATTTGTGAACGTTTTCTTGAGCTCCGAAATACCTACCCTCGCTCTTTTATTATACTGGGTGAGTTCCTAAATAAAGGTGACAAGCCGCGTGTTGGGCAAAATTTCATAGCAAGAAATGGTGGCTTCCATGCAATGGAGGCGCTCCTGTGTAATACAGTTGCATCATCAAAGGAGCTGCACGTTCAAGCACTGTTCTCTTACCGTGTCCTATGCGAAAGAATCGACTCACAACTGAGAGACCGCGAAGAACAATTGGTTTATGGCACTTTCCACTAAAGCGAACATTCTGATGCGTAAAGAGCGTACTTAATTTAGCATTTAGTTCCGTTAAATGCGAGTTCCATTTTAGGTTAAAATGGGTCGAAAGGTCTAATAGTTTGGAACATTTATCCCTGATAGTGGAGGATGGTTTACAGTTGTACATTTGCACAGGTTTGAGGTGTGCTATAAGACGCAACTTTACTTTTTTGCAAAGAGCATTAGCGTTGTCTGCGAAGAGTACTGTCTTCCCGTTTCTGATTGATGAAGGAGTAGTGCTGATGTCAGAATGCTGGTCGTCGTTGCTGGACTCCCCATTCAATTAGTATATATTCAGAGAGCTAAGTAAATTATATTTTTTGATGCGAGAATGGGACTTAATCATTTTGCGGCCGAGCTCTAAGATATGAAGTTATCCAATTACGTACAATCCATCCGAAGATAGTTTTCAAATCAACCTTTTATCATCTACGTGATCAAAATTTTTTAAGAGATCTAAAAATATGCTGGTAGGTGTTTCTTTATTATCCATTGATAATATGTGCTTACAACGTGAAAGCGCTCCTTACTACTGACCTGATTTTTGCCTTTTCTCAAGAGATCATTCCATCACAAGCAGCATGTCTGAAGAGGATATTTCTATGTCCATCACTTTTGTCATTCTGGTAGCCCCATCATTGCATATTTGTATTTTTTACACGTGTATTTCTTACGTAAATTATTTCAAAAAATAAATATTGAAAACACCTGTATATATGTATTACAAATCATTATTAAACGTAATTGATTTCTTAATTTTTTATTTAATTAATTTGTTCTCAGAGAGAGCAAAATCTGTAAGTGAAGTTTGGCAGAGGAAAAATGCTACATGTAGTAATTTTTGAACGGAATAAGGGAAACTGAATCAAAAAACAATGTACATGGGTATCATTGTCACAACATCTGATTAACATTTAGCTTCTGTTCTGAGTCCCCTCTTCTCCTTGATTTTGTGTCAGGATTTTCCTTCCCTTAGTACAGTGCTCCCATTATAATGCGTCAAAGACTCGTTCTTCTTCTCTTATTAGCTACTCTAGGCACTTTGTCGGGAAGAGTACCGAGGGACCACCACGAAAAGGAGAGAAACTGCGCTTGGGTGAAAATGCGTGACCTGCAGTGTTGAATGTGGAGACCATAGTGTTCTGTTCTGCAATTCCCCAGTGTAGAGTTAATCCTTTTTACTTATCGTAGTTACTCTACTGATTATATTTCCATTAAAAATAAGTAAATTTGCATGGAAGAAGAGTATGTTATATATATATATATATATATATATATATATATATATATATATATATATATATGCATCAGACTAAATTCTAGAATCGAAGATTTGTTAGTATAGTGAAAAAATATAATACATATTATACTCGGAAAGAAAACGTTAATACAGAAGATACATTGGATACAGAGGTGCTTCGCAGGAAGATAGTTAAGTTCCAGGAAAACAAAGTAACCAAGTAAAACAAAGAAAAATGTAACACTTATATTTGATCAAACGGAAGGAAGAGGATGCTGGGCGAAGAGAGGAAGAAAATATATACCAACCGGCTAATTGTTCTCTGTTGTTAACAGGTGACAGAGTTCGAAAGAAAAAGGTGAAAAAAGAATAACATAATAAGATATGTTCCGTCCAAAACCGATAAAAATATTTAAATCGTTGATTAGAGACAGTGAAATCTGTTCATGGTTTCTTGAGCTCTGTGCAATGTGAAATGCTCTGTGAAATCTGAGCACAGTTTCTCTGCCCTAATTCACATACAGGATGTCAAGGTAGGAAGTGTTGAAACTTCGAATATAAGCTCTTGAGACAATTTTAAGCACATTTTGTCTAATAAACTTCTTGGATATTTCGAATTGCTAAGCCTCTATAAGCAGTCAAAAGTTGTTTTGAAAAAATGATTTCTATTCAAAACTTTGCTTTCCAGAAGCATTTAAACACTCTAAAAACATGTAAATTGTTCATTTTTCACAAAATAAATAAATATATTTGTTTAGGAAGAAAAATTGACCCAGATTTAAAAATGCAATCAAATTATGTAAATTGAGTACTTTTTGTTTCTGTGTTAATTTTTGTTTCTGTACAAATATTTTCATTCCTTTTGTAAATAATAAACAATTCTACTAATTTCTAGTGTTTCTATGCTTCTGCAAAGGAAATTTTGGCCTAGAAAGCATTTTTTCAAACCAACTTTTGAGTACTTATTTGCGGCTCAACCCTTCCGAATATCCCAGTAGTTTATTAGGCAAAATATGCTTAAAATTGTCTTACGAGATTATTTGCGAAGTTTCGACGTTACCTCTTCGGACTTCCTGTACATATAAGTTGAATTATGAATACAGGTAACAATGAGCGTTTTTGGCAAGAACTGGTAAGAAAACTTTCTCTGCGTAATAAATACTATTTGCAAAGGTAAAAGATCTACTGATTTTGGCTCTTGTACTTATGACGCCCTTCGTGATGGAATCCAGTGAAACAACGAGATCGAATAACGAAATGATTATGACATTGATGAAATTATAAAATTTTAGAATAAAGAACGAAATAAAATAATGAACGAGGAGTACATGGCTAAGGAAACATTAAATGACTGTCCACGTTCTCCTTTTGCCTTCTCATCTCTCCAGCAATCATTGTAAGGCAACGCACAAGTAATATCTATTTTCATCCATGCGTATTGCGTAGTAAGTGAATGCATATAAACATTTTCTATTGCAACCGACACCTCATTCCAAAGTCCTAATGCATGATAGACCTTCGATGGCATTCACTCTGACTTCCTGCTTAGCGCCTATCAGTTCCAAAAATATATTGTGATGAAACACACTGCGCGTATTGTGATAAAATGAACGGATTACTGCAGTGTACCACTTGTATGTGGGTCTTGCGCAATACTTATCTGGTGTAAAAACAACTAAATCTTGGTCTTGTTTACCGACATCCCATCGGCAAATAAAAAAATTGAAGGGGTCGGGGGACGATAGTGCTAATCCCAATTTCATAAATCCTAAATAAAGATTTTAGAATGTCGCCTTAAATATGCTTTATGATCCAAACTCTACTATCGTGTCCATAGAATTACAGAATGAGCAGAATGATTCGAAAGCAGCAAGAACTGTATACAGAAACTAAAACACGTCTGAATTTGCAAAATCCTTGTTTTTCCTCTGACTGACAAAAAGTATGCAATCGCACCTAGACTCCTTCAATTAAAAAAAAATATTTTTGACAAAAAGGGATGCTTGTGAATGTAAATCACATACTAACAGAATCCATGTTCTACAGGAAACATGATAATCAATTGCAAAATGAAATTGCAAATTTTAGTTCAAATGTGATGAGTAGTGACAAATTGAGGACATCATGTAGACTACTAATAGATTTAAGATGACGGACGACAATTCAGAAGTTGATAAATTACTGAGTTACACTGGTTCGTGCATTTCAATTTGATTTTAGCTACAACTTTATTTTGGCATGAATGTCTTACAAATGTCAATAATAGTTATACTGCTCCATAAACATATTTGCATTTATAAGCGTGGCTTCATATTAGATCTCTCAATTCTCAAGTTCTAAATAAAAGTATTGAATTTTTACTTCTGTTCTACAAGCCTGCGTGTTAATTGAATGCAATTATTGCCCTTCATAGTATATTTCGTTTCTTTTATAGGCCTTGACGTTATATTTCGTTTGTTTTATAGGTGAACACTTTTCAAGTAGTTGTAGCCAGTAACGGAACAGATTCCTATGCGGAGTTCATCTACCCCGAAGGTGGTATACAATGGATTGAAGGAGCTAATCATGAATCTCGATTACCGGATGCCCGTGCTCAAGTAGGAATGGTGGCAGGTGATGGACGTTATTACACATTACGAACTTCTGGACGAGATCAAGTTCAACACATTGAAAGGTATTTCATGACAATTTTAAAAAATTAGGGACATATAATTATATTCACATTGCAGTGGGATATGTAAATAGGTAAAACGGCAACCAAGGCAAGCTTTTCCCAGCTCACCCACCAGCATGAACATTATGACAAACGTGTTTGTTTCACATTTCGTTTGTGCACAAAACAGCAACTAAATAACAATTAAAAATAAACAGAAACATATTTTATATCTCAATAACCATATTGCGAAGTAATGGTTTTTATTGCATAGATTTTTCACAAAAATTTTGAAAAGAGTGAACATAGATTAAATTACAATTACAGTATGCCTATTCAGATTGATCAATTATTACATTAAAATTAGTGTTCGTCTTGATTCACTATCAGAAGAATTTAGTCACACCGCAGTAGATGCCTAGTAGAAGCTCTTACGTATGAGAGACACAGATTTAATACACCAAAGGATTGGTGTATTCACATCTAGCAATTAATACGGCTTCGATGAACATTATATTGATTATCACTCGAAAGTTGAGAAGAAAGCTATCTTCTTCATGATTATAAATGTTTTGATGTGATTTTGAAATATGTTTTCTGGGCATGACATGTTCTTGCCTGTCAGAGTGTAAATCAGTTTTTGACAGTAATTTTTCCCCATGAAGATGGTTATCATCCTCATCAATGTAATAAATATATCCCAAATTATTACATTTTTCTTGGACGTTGTTTACATATTAAAAATAAATACATTTTATATCTAGTAGGATACAAAAACGTTAAATATGAAATAGAGTCGATTTTAACTATGCAGGCAGTCTGTTTTCAGTGGTTTTCAGTGCTTTCCTGAGCTCGTCCTTAAATTTCAACCTCTTGTCTTTGCATCAGGCATTGTCTTCATTTTAGAGCAAGTTTTCTCCATTTCGGCAATCCTGGGAAATCTCACACCATCATCAAACGATGAATTTACCACATTATCTCTTTGCCGTTCTTCCTGAAAAGCTTTGAACATATCAAAATAAACAAAGTAATTTCCTTCCAAAATCATGACTAGTTTTTAGAGAAAAATCTTGTAGGCTCTATCGGTTTGCAGCATAAGTAAGTTTCGCGAAGGTTCATGAGAGTTCGTAGGATTCGTTCATTTTGCGAGTGCTGTTTGTGAATGGGCACCAGGGAACAGAAATAACGAAACCATAGACACAAGTTACATTTGTTCTCACATTACAAACTCTACATGCTAAACATGTAATACAGATAATATAGTCTTTCCTTGTAATTGTTTAATGATATCGCCCCGCGTTCGCATTTGGCCTATTTGTTTCGCAAGAGAGGCCAAGCGAGGCAGTAATTTTGGAATAAAGTGGGTCACGAACATTTTGTAGACACTCCCTTAGTTTGTAAAATATCGAATATCAAGACAGGAACCATAAAATTACAATAATTATCTTGAAATAAATTGTTATCAGATTTTTAAATATAATATAACATCTATTGAATACTTAAAAAACTATTTTTTAAACATAATTAACAGTTTCTTGACCACAACTTTAGGCATGAGTCTGACCAGTAAATACAACTACAATAACTTGCAATTAAAATAAAAACGGCACATTCTAGAGATCCAATTATGTACAAATTCAATAAACAGTAATGAACATATTTAACGGAAGAAAATGTTAAGTTTTAATGTCAGTAAAAGCCAATAAAAAGAAAGAACTGTAACGTGCCTTGTTCTATCAACGTCTCGAACCTGCAACACGAGCTACCGTCATCTTGTCCACATCTTGCCACGAATGGTAGTTAAAAGGACTCACAAGCCAAAAACATTGTCAAAAACAGAGGAGAAATTATGGAATTATGGTGTTGATGTGGTGATTTTACTATACAATAAAAGGGTCTCAGAAATAGAAGAGTTCATAACATGGCGAGAGTGGAACCCAGACAGAAGGAGACCTACCATACATTCCAAGAAGCTGGCCAACCAATAACGGTACACACTCAAAAGTAGAAACTTCACAATTTGATGCCAAAAAAATTCGGCGGGAGCTATTCAATTCAATTATCTACTTGAACGTGTAGAACCATCAGATACCCATAAAAACGATGAACGCTCATCTCTTCCCAATAAAACCACTGGCAGTAGGAACAATTATCTATGAATTACGCGAGATAGGCACGGAGCGAAATTTCCCCCGACACGAGATATATCATTTTTTCTTTCATTCGAATCTCGTGCACCGTTGAAGAGAGTATTCAAAAATTCCTAGGGCAAAAATTGTTAGGGACTGCGAATGCTGTCTTCAATGCGATGGAAGAGACCCCGCAAAGAGATCTTGATATCACTGTGACTTGTCGAAACCTGTCCTAATCCTTTTCATCGGAAGCATATCCCGTATTAATCTCACGATCAAACTTTTTGGTGCCGATACACGCTACAAGTCAATTAAAAAACATCCTGAATTTGCAAATTGACCCTATGCTTTCAAATATGTAAAAATGGCCAACCATGCAAATCAGGTGTTACCCAGCGCGTTCTCTTGTGATTCAACACCACTGCTCGCCGCAAGCGGAATACTCTACTTCCAAGGTCGTTTAGATTTAGATTTGGATTTATTTAGTCAAAAAACACTAAACACTGTAATTGACATAGGGGGAGAAGATTATCTGCTTCCTGCGAAGGGCAGGCGGGGAGACAGCTGCCCCTCCTAACAGCTAAAATAATAAAACTAATAACACTAATATTAACTACATATAGTCTAAACTACTAATACAAGTTTTATCGAATTTTAGTTTTATCGGTTGTTCATTTTTGTAACATTTCGTCGTGATAAACCTCCCCACAACCGCTCATCTTTCATCCAACATGAGCTACCTTCCCTGGAGCTCTTTCCTCACGAATTTTAGAGCTCTTGTCTGCGTCTACTGCGAAACAGGTCAGTTGTGTATTCACACGCGAAAGTAATTGTTGTCGGGAGCTTAGAGCTAGTCCCGGCTGGGGCGGTGCCCCACTGGTGGGAGATACCTGGAAAGAGAAAATCTCGCTAGCCGACGGTAGGTCGGCGCCGGATATCGCCATACCACAAGGGAAGACCGCCGCCACCTCCCGAAAAAACCATACACTACACTTACGGGGCTAATTGTCCTAGTAGTCGCGCCCGAAAACAATCAACCTCATACGCCGGTATCCGGCATGTACTCGATATCTCTTTTAACGTGACCTACCGAACAGTAGTGCATTAGGAATTGCTTAACTGTCAAGAGCAAATCAACGCACGCATACCTCTTTATGTACCAAGAAGAATTTCCATGTTGAACTGCTGAATATGTGAACCGCAGTTTCTGGACCTCGTCGGAATATAATTTATACGAGTAAGCCCCAATTATAAACATGGAACTGGAAATATCCATAAATTGATAAGTTTCAGAATTTTTGGATGGAGAAATTAACATTACATTCCGACCTGGGAAAGGCTGTTAATGAAATCTCAGATAAAACAGAGGAATTCTCGATGAAGCTCCAATGCGACATCTCTGATCAACTACATAGGCAAATCACATGTCTACCAGTAACGTAAAAAGTTATAACTGCAGCATTAGCTACAAAAATGTACAGACTCGTAGAGGTTAACAATTTGTTTTTAATTGAACAGAAAGGATATGTAACGATTGCAATGGCTGTAAAGAATGCTTGCTGCGCAACAAAGACATCTTAAATGATGCAAAGAAACGAAAATTTGCTTATAGCTTAGATGCACTATTGGGAGGCAATTAAAATTACCATGAGATGAGATACTAAAGACCCTGGAGATTTATGGATTTCATTCTAGGCTTATTGAGTTTGTAATGTTAGTACGAGCTCATACAATACCAGGTTTCTTGTTCAGGGTACTTGTACTCACAGCGGAGAGCAAGTAGTTAAATGAGTAATATTCAGATCAATTAGGGAGCTTTTTAAGGAGATTCAGTGTCTGCTATTTTGCATTAGTTTGATACCAATATGTACACAATTGTCGCAAGCTGACTTTGCTTACATGCTCCATGGTGACGAAATACTACTAACAATTTTTTTGCATACAGGATGACCAGGGAGGAAACGTCAAAATTTGGAAAATAAGATCTTAAGACAATTTTAATGTAATTTTGTCAAATTTTGTTTAATGTAATTTTGTCATTTTGATATTCCAAACGACTAATCCGCAATAAGCACTCAAAATTGATTTGAAAAAGTACTTGCTATGCAAAAATGTGCATTATAGAAGCATATAAACACTCCAGAAACATGTAAAAAGGTTGTTATTTACAAAAGAAATTAATATATTTGTTCAGAGAGTTAATTTTTCTTTCTGAGGTAGGTCGGGCTATTGAAATCCACCATTATTTGGGTACCCACCACTATTTATTGGGTAGGTACTGATGTTAATAATATCTCAAGGATTTGCGTGTGGTATGCTGAGAACTAGATCACTAAGCAGTTATTGATTCCATTCACACCTAGAGAGTCGGAGACTTCCATTTTTTAACATACTTGTGGATCGTGATTAAAATATTTGTGAATATCAAAATTGCAGTCATACACCCCACCCAATTATTAACATTTCACGTCAAATTATTTTAAATTTTCAGGTTCGTGTTCTCCTCTAGATTATTTGTTTCTCAATGTTCGCATCATTTTTCTAGTTCCCTAAAACCTATCTTTTGTAATTCAAATTGTCTTCAGTATTTGTCTCATAAATACTACTTGTTCATCAATTGACTGTCACGGTCTAATTCTCGAAAGCACGAGATGAAATGGCGGTAAACAACGACATCTGCAAATATTTTAAAATTCAAAACACTAAATTATGAGTAACGCAATTTTTGCAACTTCTCATGTGGAAGACTTCTAAGCAATCCCACATATTACATTTCTCAAGAGACAAACATCCACCACCCATTAGGGCTCCTGTTACTGCGCTTGAAAAATTTAGAGCGTTGAGAAATTAGTTTTTTTAGTTGTCGGCTAGGCGGCGTGGAAGTGTATTTTCTTTTGCTGTCGTCTCTATTACCAATAAGCCGGGGCAATAAGCCGGGGTCATCTGCAAGGTCGCGTAAATGGAGCCCGGTTGGGGGTGATCGCCCCTAGTAATGTGAAGATAAGACACGATCGCGCATTGTATCAGAAATTATTGTGAACCACACCTCCGAATTCAATAGTTCCTAGTTGAGCATGAGTACTGTACAATGCGAGCTAAAGAAAGTGTACAATACTCCTGGGAAAAACAATAGTTTTTTTTCAGTGTTATGATTAATCTTTGCGCAAACGTTTCTAATATTTTCTTGTTCGTCATCTGATGATGCGTGTAAGCTTGAACATTCTGTATAGTTTCAAATATAAATTATACTTTCATAAAAATTATAGGAAATTTAAAATGAAGATTATTTTCTCTCGAAAAAAGTCACGAAAGATTTAAAACTACATAATATTTTACTTCATTACTGTCAATAACTCCAAATTTATTATTGATAGGTCATCGAATATTGGAATACGGGGTGTATGGATGTTTCATATTGGCCAAGTACAAGCAAATGGAAATGTTAATTCTCCGGATTTAATAAAGTCAGGTGAATACTACAATATAATTCATTATTTGAAAGATACATACTAGTTACATAGGTACTTCTTTAAATTATTCAGTACAATTTTTCAGATCCAATTGAGAGTGTAACCTGTGCTGCACGTGGATCAACGACCTGTCACAGCAAAGCTCAGTGTTTTGACTTCGAAACAGGTTTCTGCTGTGAGTGCAAGAGTGGTTACTTTGGCAATGGCATCAACTGCTTAACAAACGGTATTGTATATTTGTTGTATGTAAAAGTTTTTATTTATTTGTATTATTGTACGCAAAATTCTCCCTCACCCTGTTTCTAAAATAAGTCTGTATGAGAAGAAGATTGAATGAAAGAAACAGTGATAATGGGGAAAACGTACCATTTGTGAAATTGGAGGTCGAATTATTTCGTGGTCGAATTCTTGAACTTGGGCCATTATATTCGTATTTCACACTTCATATTTAGAACTAATAAATAAACTAGGCAAATCTGAGTTGAACTTTTTTTGGGCTGTACTTAACAAATCATATTGAGTGTCTACATCATGATTTTTTAAACGTTCGGTCACACGTTTGTTTAGGTATTTCTCTACTTTTTTATCATCCAAACCTGGTACAGATTTTAACTTTTTGTAAAGCATTTTATCTCCACGCCAAAATTTAAAAAAATTCCTAGTCAAACACACGGGCTCATACAACGGGAATAACAATTTACAAGTCAATACAAAACACTAATACAGTACACACAGAAGCTTTGTATGCTCTTAATCCGACTGTACAGAAATCATCAGCTAACCAGGAACTTTCTGTCCTGTGGTGAACGGAACTTGGGGAAGGTCGGAACTTGGGGAAGGTCCCGGCATGAGGGCAGAAGCAGTTAGATGATCCAAAAATCTCTGGTCACAGTATGCTAGCTGTCTGAATGATAGTAAGAACAATCTCCTGCCAGATGTCTCTTCCATGGCTTTCAAAGGAGGATGCACTGGACGAGACTTTGCTTCTGAAAAGAAAAAAAAAGTCGTCTACCGTCATTCTCTCCCAACCACTCAATGGCCCGTACGCGTCCGCAGAGCAGAGGGAAGACTCCGAACAATTTCTGAAAATTTAGCCCTGAGAAATACAGTATTGTATCAAATATTACACAATACATTGTTTTATATATATATATATATATATATATATATATATATATATATATATATATCAAATACATTTAATTTGAACTTTCAAATGTTCAAATTTATCAGCATGTTCCCTTTACCGGGGGAAAGTTCTTGATTTTCGAACCTAACTATTTTTTTATTGCACGTAAATATTTTTCCGCTATAGTACGAGTCTGTCAATAAAATTAAAAATATACAATTTACAAGTTACGACTTACATACCTGCATCCAGATTAAAGAAAAGACGTAATAACACCCATCGCCATAAATGTTTCGTGTTACACCGTTTGTTACAAATGTTTTTCCCTCTCATTAGACGAACATCACCTACACATACGTATGCAGTTACGTATGGCATATACAGTCCTTGGAAGTTGCCAATGTGCCAATGTGTAATGCGCCAATGTGTGATGCGCCGAATACTCTTACGTTAAGCTTCATTTATTTATTTAGTTTCGCATCAAATTCAAGGTCATTAGACATCTTAAATAGTTTACAATTTTGTTTACAAAATTTAAGTTTCATTTATTTACAGTTTACACTTTTAATATATTTATGTCAAAATAACACTTTTTAAATGAATATCTGTATTAAATTATGTTGTAAATGAATACATAAATATTCTTTTTCGGATAAAGGACATTAATGATATTCTTATATTAATGATAAATTCTGAATGATAAATTTTAAAAGACTAAATTTGCCTGTGACAAGTAATTAACTTCATCTTTTGGGATAATGATGCCCATTTCGATCAGGGTTACCCTGATCCAGTGAGCAAATGTTGAGATTTCCCTTTGTTCTGCTTATTGGTATTACATGTAACTTCATTATGCGCAAAGTATTCCAATAGAGAAAAAATCTAATATTCAAATGCTTCTAACCCCGCTTTGTTGATACTTTTATTAATCATTCAGTTATGTACATGGTGGGGTAAGTGTTCTTGAGCTAAAGAAAAGCTACGCAAATTATTCTTGTCCCCTGTACATCACATAAACATTTTACTGTTTTTGACAAAATCGAATCAACAAAATGTTCTTTAATTAATTTATATATAAATTAAATTGGAGAGTTTGTTATTTCAAAATAACTGCCTTTTTTATAATCTCATTTTATGTTTATAATACACAAGTCAATTCAAGTGTTCTTAGTATTTTTATCCTTTATACTCTCTGGAACGACTGAACCGATTTTGGTGCAGTTTCCACTGAAATGTGTGTTTTGTCGAGCATAGTAATTTACTTTACTACTACTCGTTTCAAAAGTATTATTTTGTCATATTTTAAAATGAATGTTTAATTGCTTTCTTCATATTTCAAATCATTTTCTATACAAATCTACAGTTTGATTCGACTTTCATGAAATTGTGTACATGTGACCTTCAAAACAGGAGAAAAGTCCATAAATGAGATTTTGTAAAAATATACGTACATCTCCCTTTCCTATTCCTGAGAGCAACATTTAAGGGTGTACTCTTTCCGTTTTCGCAAATAGTTCGAAAACAAGTGAGCTCAGGCAGGCATTGCACATGCATATATCATATACACGATATCGTATACTCTTCATACACGATTGAAATTGTATATGTAACCTAATACTTATTATTATTATTATTATTATTATTATTATTATTATTATTATTATTATTATTACATGGAAAAACATTGCTATGATCTGTAGTGTCTTACCTTCAAACTATTTAGATTTTAGTGTCAGCAAAATATTTTCGCTTTTCTATGTATTGTTGGTAAAAAATCCATTGAAAGTATCTTTGAGCGAACGAGCCATTTTTAATGCCATTTCTCGTGTCTCTTGATGTGAGCACTCTTTCTATAGAGTGTAAGAGAAACCATTTCCCATATAACAATCTATAAATAGAAATCACAACATCAGCTTTATCATTATAACACCAACATCACACACACCATTAATAATATATATTATAATAATTATATATATTAATATATATATATATATGTGTGTGTGTGTGTGTATGTAACGTGTGTTTCTATTGAAGTTATTGAAAAATGGTCTCTCTTTTTTCAGATGTCCCCCTGAGAGTAAGTGGAAAATTAAGTGGTCGCATTAATGACGAGGAATTAAATGATTTGGATGTACAATCGTATGTAATCACGTCGGATGGACGGACATACACCGCTATATCGAGGGTCCCTGATTCTATCGGTTACGACATGCAACTTCTCCATGTGATTGGTGGTGTAATTGGGTGGCTGTTTTCGCGCCCAGTAAATAATGCAATCAATGGATATCAACTAACAGGTAAATAATTTGATGTTCAGTTCTTAGTCATGTCTCTCGCCCCGTGAATTCATGGTTGTCCATGGTCCATTTGTGCATTGTGCAATTCGAGGTTAACAAAATAGTTTCTTCGCATCTTGGTGTACATAACGAAGACATCTCTCCAAACGTTCTAGATACGCGAGGTATTTCTACATTTCCGTCATTCATTCATCTGCATGTTAATTCATTGCATCAAAATTATCTTCTGCTCCTAATTTCTTCATTCAGCAGTAGCATACACGACAAATATCCAATCACGCTAACAAATAAATATATTGTATTTACAGGTGTGTTGTTTGCAATTCATTGAAGGAAAATTTTTTATAAAAATAGATGGGAGTAAATTATGCTAAGAATAAGAAAAGCAGAACACAATAAACATAAATTTCATTCCTACCCTATAGTACTTTTTACGTCAGAGAGAATAAAAATTTTTAAGACAATACACGAAAATAAAATTAAGAGAACAGTGTACCGTAATTGTGTACTATCAATTTATTTAAGTGTGCATTTCGATTTCATGGTTTCGAATATCAAATATAATTTATAATTTTGCAAATATAATTTTCACCCATGTCTTTAAAAGACACGTCGCTAGCCGAATTACTTAACCACTGTCCGTGAAATCACGGGGCTTAAGCAACTCGAGATCCCGCGTGTTCATGAATGGGTGACCGACTGGAAAACACGAGGATCTTACTACGTCGTTCATGTTTCGGGCGCATCAACTGCTATGGTCCGTATGTATTGTGCCCTTTTTATCACGGGAGGTGGCGGTGTATTCCCGCCGCTGGATGGCGAGATCTGGTGCAGACCTTCTTGTCCGGTTGGAGGGTTTTTCCTCATCTGGGTATCTGCCACCAGCGGGGCATCACCCTAGCTCTAAGCTTTCGACTGGTGTCCCGCACGTGTGATAGTGTAGCGTGTAAATAAGGAATGTGGTTATGACAATGAAGAGGAGGGAAAGATCGCGCGCGGTTCGTGGCCCGTTTTTTAGAGCACTGCTCAGGCATTCGACTGATGATCATATGAGAAACCACGTAAAACTACCGATTAGAGCAGCCTGTCTCTAAAATTACCCTGCAGAAAGTGGCTCGATCTAGGTAGTGCCGAAAACCCCTTCCACGGATGGAATTGGAACCCTAGGACCTCCCAGTCAGAGACCTCCCAGTCCATCGTCATCAGTTGATGCCCTGCGGGTCATCAGTCGGTCTCTGTTCTCGATCTGTAAAGTGTAGATTGATTCTCTTTTGTAGAAGAGTTCAGTGCACACTAATGTGAAGATTCATTGCGTTGTCGGATTAGTAACCTGCTACTATAGTATTTGATTTTACTCGCAAATATTGTACGGTGGGAATATTACGAAAAGACGTAATTATGGAAATAGTTTCTCAGAAATTTTGGGAGTGCAAATTATCATTTATTCAAAATCTAACCACTTATCCAAGAGTGAAAATACCGCGAATAAATACTTCGCGAATAAATAATTCTCTTCGGAAAGAATGATGTAATATTAATAACGTGATTCAGAAATCTCGAGAAGACGATTGATTTGACGCTTCAATGTTTTGATTATTCGGTTCCTTAAGGATGTAAATTAGTAATATTTTAGATAATGAAAAAAATATTCTCCAAAAAATTACTTCTGATATGAGGATCGATTAATAATATTTGTTTCGGCAAGTAATTTGTGTTTTGGAAATGTATTTTAGAATCTTACGTGCGATTCTTTGTACTCAATTCTTGTATCATTAGGTGTTACCGGACATGCGTATTTTAGTATCAGTAGCATTTCCCTCTACGACTCTATTCTCTTGCACTAATTAATTATTGCTTTACCTTCCAGGGGGTGTCTTCAATCATACATCCACTATAAAATTTTTGCAGACAGGACAAACTGTTGTAATTAGGCAATACTATACGGGTACTGACGTCTTCAATCAGTTGAAGATGAAAGCGGACGTTCAAGGCAGTCTTCCCAGCATTCCACTTGGAACGAAGTTAGAAATATCGGAATACGAAAAACATTATACGCGAACATCGCCAGGTGAGTAAAAGACACTTTAAATACTTATAATATTTTTATTGTCCAAAGAATTGACTGCCTCAGCCGGGAATCGAACGCAGATCTCCCAATATATGCCCAACTGTTCTAGCCACATTAACTCCGGAGAGAGTCAACTCTTCGGACAGCCTTAAGGAGATAAGAGCCCGTCGATGATTTACATTTCACCACTAGTCACAGTTGAAGTTAAATAATTAGAGGGAATACGATTACCTTGCGCAATTGTCAACTACTGTTGCACGTCCATAGCACAAATCAAGATGTAATCGAATCGGATCTACCGGCATACATATCATAAATATAAATTATGTTTGTACTCTGGCACTATTGCCTCGTCAGACTATGGTCATGCCATGGCATCCCAGCCTGGAGGCCCGTGATAAGCGGTCGGTATCCCTTACTCCATCTTTTGGCCTTCTCTATCTGAGGGGAAGCTTTCACACTATCAACCAGCTATATGAACTGGGCGATGACCGCGAAATGCAGCGGTTTTGTTTTTTGCCACATCAGAATAACGAACGGGGGGTCACAGAAGAAAAAGAAAAACTAGCATGCTAGCCACGAGCCACGGAGAGAGCAATTATTAATTAAATAAGTATTTTTATATTATGTAAATTATATAATTATATAAATTGTTTTATATTATATAATACATTTTATTTACGTTATTTTTTAACATTTTTAAGTCTATTTTCACTCACTTCTAAATAAACTACTATCATGGGGAGGGGTTGCTAATAAGGAAGATTTAGATGAACTTAATATTTTAATTATTAATACATAATGTATATGAATGCATATGAGTGCATATGAATGAATGAACGAACGAACAACGAACGAATAAATGAATAAATGAATAAATAAATAAATAAATAAATAAATAAATAAATAAATAAATAAATAAATAAATAAATAAATAAATTTCGCTTTTCAGTTAGATACAAATTTTCGAAATAATAAAGTCTGATAAAAAATTCAAAACATAGAATGTAACACAATGTTATCAGGAGCATCGTATTTAAGTTTTTTTCAGTTTCCTTAATAATAGCATTGGTTTTCGATATCCTATCCCGGTAGAATTACTAAGAAGTGTGTTCACCTTGTCCTTCTGTTCACGTGTCACTACACTTCAAACTAAAAAGAAACCAACGAACGTGGCCTTTTCCATTAGTCGAGAAACAACAAGCGCGCTAGAAATCTGACACCGGTTGATAAACGTCGCCTGGTGCTGCCGATGCAACCGTACGCCCGCCGCGGGAGGCGCGGAGGTCGCGAAAGGTCTTGATGCAAAAATCTCTAAAACACTATTTATAATACTCCATAGCAATTCAAAATTTGGGCATGTGGGTTTTGTTTCGTGTTCTGCCAGCTGGCGAAATTTCATGAGAATCCGAGGATCCAGCACGGTTCGTGTTAGATGTTACGAATCCTTTCTTTCCCACGCTCAGAGGCGCTGGTTGGCTGTGCGGAAGGGGCCTGGACACTTCAGTGGCGCTGCACAGCGACTCCGTGTGAAAACGGCCTCTCGCGAGGGCATGCGGAGGTATCGCCTTAGACAATTCCAAAATAAAATTATTTCTCGCACATATGCGCGACGTCGGATGTGCGAATGTAACGGATGATTGAAATCGTTGTGGCGGATCATTGTGGCGAATATGCGTAAAAAAACAACTGGTAACTCTGGAAATTAATGGGTTGGCCAGATGAAAGTTCTTATCTACGCAACGCATTTAACGGAGTTGGCTAATGTGTCTGTCTACAAGAAATCTAGCGATGTAAACAACCATTGTAACAAAATGGTTTCCGAAAGTTTCAAAATATCTCTATCTTTAGAGTATTTGCTTAATATGTGTAATATAATTCGGTCTCATCATTTTTGCAGGTAAAATGTTTTCACGAATGAGTCATTTCTTCATGCTGGAAGGAGTTCCTGTTCAACATCCATATGAAATGGAACATGTAGTTGAATACGTAGAGTGTAAAAACCATCCTCTTAACTTTACTACTCTGCATATGAAAATCACGAGAAACTTAGTAGTCTATGAAGCGCATGATGAAATTGTGCGCTATGGAATGACAAGCAAGATGATGTTTCCACAAGGTATTTTACTCTTCAGTTACTTAGCATGCTGGAAAACAAGAAATATAGTAATACACAATTACAGTTTGCACGTATTGTGCGTTTTTTGCAATACATGTAATATATAATTGATGTAATTATATAATACGATTCGGTAACTGTTAAAATTTTTCAAAGTTATATTGAGATAAAACTATTAATTTCTAATTGCCGCACCAATAGAGACACAAGGTTCCTAATTATCCTCCAATTCTCAGTCATTGATCACGTTTGTCTTGAGTATTGAATGGATGAAGTTAACATAATTTTCTTGTAGCATAAATCATTCATTATCAAATCTACATGCAATACACAGAAATATTATTTTCTAGAAATTGCTTTTATGCTTAAATATTAAAGTTAATATAATTAATGACAAAGAATGATGGGTGATGTATTGGAGAATGAACATGAGTGAAACAGAAGGCATTAGCATGAGAAAGGTCCCTTGAAAACGTTGATACGCACCCGGTTTTTCCTCTAAGTTTGCTCGAGATTCAATTGTCTCAATGTCTATACTTACAACAAACGTAATGTTAGGCTGATGGAGGTTGCGTACTGGCGACAATGGTGGTAGCAAGCCTCACACAACCCTGACATGCCACAGGCTTATCAACACAACTAGTGCCGTGAAAGGAAACAGAGTTTTCAGTGTTCCTATAGCGAGGCGCTGTTGACACACGCAACAGCGTTTTAGGTTATTGAAAATTTCGGTCCTTATTGGGAGGAAGTTTCTTTGTTGCAAAAGAATGATACCTTAAGATTAAAGACATGGCTTTGAATTTTTTAAATTCAACTGTCAAAAATTTTCAAAACATTTAGAAATGCAAATATAATTTATAAAGTTTCATATGTTCCACATAAAATGTTCCATATGTTCGCGAAACACAGTATGTTTATACCGGTAACTAAGAATTTCCAAACAAAACGGGTAAAATATATAAAATTGTGGTACCACTTGAGTATGAGTGATATTTCATGGAACTGCACAAAACGTGTACCAAGACAAAATAAGTGATAAAAATTTGAGAAATTGCTGACATATTTGCCCCTCGTGTACTCTAGATCCGTATTTTACTACTTGGTGGAATTTCATTTGAATAGAGGATGTGTACAGAAAAATAAAACTAAAACTGAATCGGTGCAAACAAAAAGGTTCGATGCCACATTTCGCTGTTTTTTGTTAACGGTGGGAAACTGTTCTTAAAATATAAATTTCAGTTTCTATGCATAAAAGTTCGTTGTCCATGAACTCTTTGACGCCTTCAGAGTACCTTTCAATTATTAATGTTAAGAAAAAATTATCGATGTCCAGAACTTAGAACCTTTTGGCTTGCTCTTCAAAATTTGAAGCTCCTGGACATCGAACATTTTGCTTTCTCTGATTCAACTCTTCGTCTACATATATGTGAAAAGAAAACGTACTACCCTTTTTTAAGTCTATTGCGCAAAGGGAGGAGTGTGAGATTTTCATAGTTCAAGTGTATGAGGAGAAGGAATTAAGAAAGCTACAAGAATTAAGAAAGATTACATACGTTTTACAAATATATTAAATTAAATAGCGTGCAGATGCAATCCTCAACACGCTGTACACTTCTATCGTACAGAACTCGAAAACGATGCATTTTAGAGGATTATGGAGTGTGAAGTTTGGCATAGTTACAGCTAAAATGGGGAAGGAATGTAAATATAGAAATGTATGAAGTATGAATTATAAATATATTAAATAAAATAACATAATGTGCTGATGCAACCCGCAACACGCTATAAGACACTATATAGTAAATCGTATCGTACATAACTCGGAAACGATACGTTTTGGAGCCACAAAACCGTATTTTCGGGTACCCTATAGGACATGAATTTGTTTTCCATGCCCTATTCTACAAAATGAGATATTTGTAGACGTTTCAATACCTTACGTTAAGAAGAAAAATACTTTGCTCCATATTTATATTTGTGTGCATGAAAAGCAGATTATTAATAATTGTAATAATAATTTCCGCACGAGACCGATATTAGCTTTCACACTCTAACAAACCTCTATCATCTATATTGTACTTTTGCGATGTTAATTTTTTGCAATTTTCGAAAATAGTTAATTGCCAATATTTCACCCAAAATTGCGAGAAATCTACTCATATTCTCAAAAATATGTTCATGGCCTTGTTTGAAGATATTTATTTGAAGAACAAATATAATTAATCCATCTTCGATATTGTAGTTTTATAAAGTCGCCGGAAAAGTTTTGAGCTGTTGCAATTTTCGAAAATTCCGAGAATTCAACGAAAATGAGACATGCGCGATTATAAGGCATATCTTGCTCTACCCCAGGAAATATTTTAGTACAAAAATTTAAAACCGTTTCCGAGAAAAAATTTCAACACATGTTTCGTGTTGGATACCCCCAAAATCAAAATATCCGTTTCAAAATGGAAGGGTGACGAGTTAGTCCAGATCAATTGGGAAAATTGGAGAAAATCGCCTGAACGTTTAGACACTAGCGTTGGCCAGGATTGACGGGCGGGTGGCCGTGAACCAATTTTTGTGGGCTCAAGAACTCAAAAAACATGGATTCTGACTACACCACGTGTTAACGGAAGTAGTTTTCAACATAAAGGAACAAGATTTATCCACATGTGCTTCAGTTTTTCCCAAGTTTTTATAATACTTTCAGTTTTTCCCAAGCATTATAATACTTTCTCTTTACGACGTAAGTACGTAGTAAGGAATTTTTTTAAAGACTTTTGCTATCATTTCTACACAGCGCATATTTCTGCTATAATATCGGCACTTCCCTTTCTCACTCAATACTTACAGTACGTAGAATATTCCTGGGATGGAGCAAAGAACGCTTAAAACATGGCGCGATTTACTGTCGTTGAGCTATCTGAATGTTCAAAAATTGCAAAATTACAAATAATGGGACAAAATATGTTCTGTCGTAGCATCACAAGTTTATTAGAATAGAGCAATGTTCGCTTTATATGTCCTATGTCCGATTTTTATTAAAACCTCTGAAATTTCGATAATTGCAAATTGCTTATTTCTTGCCAATGCGTTAGGAGCGTTGTTCAATGGCAAATAGACAGATGAATTTAGTTCAAAGCCAGCGTTGCCGCTGACTCCCTAAGTGACTCTCGTCGGGAGGTACTCAATTTTGAAATCCAACGGTGTCGCATTCTCGACACTAGCTGTATACAAGGGCGAATTCAGCTGTTGTCTGGAGAAGATTTCTAGCGGCCGGCTGCCCTGCTCGGTAGTTGTCCTTGGTTTCTTCGATGAATATCAGGCAAATGCCTCTGCAGCACTCTTACACATGGACCGTAGACCGCGTGCTACCTTTCATTCCTCTTTTTTACTCTATCCTCACCCCATACTTGCACACACACGCACATGCACATGTTGGGAGACCACGCGGGAGCTCAGAGCTTGTCCCGGGTGGTGCGGAGTCCCGTTGGGGGAGCTTCCTGAAGGGACAAATCCCCCGCAACCCCACGTGTAGGTCTGCGCCAGATCTCACGATTCATCTGGGAAGGAATCACCGCCATCTCCCAAGTAACGAGACTAATGACCACAGATGTCGACGTCCCTGAATCATTAATCATTCAACCAATCAATTGCAAACATTCTATCGGTCTCGTCCGGAGGTTGCCAAACGTTTTTATCCCGTAGACCCTTTGCCTGTTTTTTTCTATTTTTTGTAGATCTCTTCTTAGGGATTGTTCCAAAATAAATCCGTGGGGTCAACAGACCACAACAGGAGAACCAATTAGATAAGTCCATGTCTCGCGGAACCGAATACCAGACCAGGCAAATATTTTTTCAAGTTTGAAACACTTTTGCGGGTTCAGCTAGTATTGTAATATTAAATAATAGTTAAAAATTAACACGTGAAAATACGAACTCTGCAGAACATCTAGTAGTTCATCTGTTGTGTTTTTCATTGAGAGCTAACTAACTGGAAAATATTTTTACAGTAGCCAATTGACTGAAAAGACTATTGCTGATGTTTCTATGCCAAACCACTAATAACGCAGATTTTAGAAGAAGTATTTTGAGAACTGTAAGAAAATGTATTTTTCTTGAACTGGAAAGTAATTAAATAATGCGATGTGCAATAATATAACGTTTATGTAGCAAAGCGAATATCTCTCGTAATGTAACACTTTCCAACCATGTAGTTTTTTTTATTATCATTATTATTGTTTGAGTTAATTTTTGTTATCAGCCCAACATCATCCTGAATTCCTTTTTTGCTACAATATTAAATTTTAATATACTATCGACTATGTATACCTTACACAGATCGCGATCCTTGTGAAGAAGGTCGGAAAACATGCATAAGACACAGCTCGTGTGTTGTGGACGGAGATTCCTACAAGTGTATTTGTCATCCTGGGTAAGTAAATTTTGAAATAATACAACTAGAAAATAAACTGATTTGCACTTATTTATTTATTTATTTATTTATTTATTTATTTATTTATTTATTTATTTATTTATTTATTTATTTGACGACAAAATGTAATTATCATGTGATAAAGTTTACACCTGGATATTTATTCATATTTTTATTCATGAGTTACGCTGTGTTGGCCAAATATGTCCAAAATCTTTTAAATTATTATTTCCACTATTCCATCGATAACGTTTTTTATTTGCCGAGGTCATTGTACAGCAGAATGGGAATGGTGTTAAAGAACACTACCACAACAATTACCATTTAAACAACTTTTTTCTGTTTTTTGGCTCAGGTTATGATTTGACTATATTCGAGCGAGATATGGTCACACAAAGGAAAACTTTCTATGTTCGTAAAACAAATTCAAAAATTAAATTTAAAAACCTTCCGTAGTATCAATTGCAGAAAGACTTGACTTTTGTTCTTTGGCGTGAATTCTTATATATTTTGTTAACAATATAAAAGCCTGTTCTGAAGCCTGAAATGTATTTGTGCTTTTAAAGTCTCATAATGTTCAGACATATTGCATTTCAATATGCAAGTTACCGGCAATAAAGAACCTTTTACGAATAAAAATATTTAGAGGAACTGTATTTATTATGAACTACAATAAACGTTTATTAAGGAATTTCTAAGAAACAAATATGTGCTTGTATTTGAAGGTACCAGTATATCCTGTTGGAAAATTCTACAGACGCTGCGTGCGTGGATGTGAACGAGTGTGCTTCAGGAATAAACAATTGCCATTCTTACGCAGAATGCATCAACGAAGAAGGAAGTTACAGCTGCCGTTGTAAACCCGGTTACAACGGCGATGGTCGATTGTGCGGTACGTACATGCTACAAATATGTAATATTCCATATCTGTATAATTTTAAAAGTCTTCTAATTTTTTTTCATAATTAAAGTGAACAACGCATTTAAACGAGTTACCACCAAAGAATATATATTTTAGAATTTCGCAACTTTGAATTATTAATATCAGAGTCTTGAGTCAGTAATCGAAATGTATGAATGGACACAAATTGTCGGTTCAATTCCAAAAGACGACAACTCAAAATTGTAAATTTTGTTATATTTTAATTTTAACGTTTAATACTATTTCAAAATGTTACATTACCTCAATTTTAAATATTTTTATTTATTTTGTACTGTTATGCCAGATTTAAATCATGGGACAGACTTTTTCAGAGCTATATTAAACCTGAAAATGGGAATATCTCAACACGGAGAATTTGAGTTGCTGCATTTTAGAACTCAGATGTCGATATATTTTCCAAATATGTAAGGGATCGTTCTTAGAATTAACACACTCATAATACTTTCATGAAAATATTTTTTTTCATTTGCCATTAAATAATTCTGTTTCTTAAAGAATTACTGAGGTACGAGTATCTCTCTGAACTTCAGATGCAATGTTTTTTAGATGAATATCATACTTTGGGGAATTAAGTAAATTTTGTAAATAAATACCTTCCATGGTCAATCGTCCATGTCACGATATCTGCATTAGAAAGAAACCCGATGCTATGTAGGAAAGAAATTCATGGAAAACTGTGCAATAGTACTTGTAATTCGCATTGCCATTCCCAAAACACGCTTCCGTTCAACCACGTAATTAAGCTTTACATAATAATTTTAAATGTGTATTCAATACATTTTATCGCTTTATTTTATATATTAAGAGCTTAGTTAGGATATCCAAAGGCTGCTGAGGGTTGTAGAAAAAATATGAAAATAATTATAATTATGTCCATCATAATTAATATTCTTTTTTAAAACTGTATTGAATAGTATTGTGCATTTTCGTTAAATACAGAAGCAGAAGACTGCAATGTGGCCAACAACTGCTCTCCTTTCGCCACGTGTCAATTTGATACGCTTACCCAGAAATACACCTGCGTTTGCATTCCTGGGTACTATGGAGATGGATTAAGTTGCTATGAAACAGATTCAGTGACTGCAAATTGTAACAACACCGACTGCTGGTGCCCTTATGATTTTGTATTAGAAGGTTTGATGTGCTTAAAGAAGAAAACAAACGATATTTCCTCAGAAGAAGTAAATTTCGGTAAGTAAATAGAATATACACTATTTGTATATTAAAAATTTTGTAATGATACTATTTTCCCCCAACACTCCAAGCATGTAGTGCACGCGCATACGAGTACATTCGTAGATTGGTATCTCTTGAATAGATATAATTCTGAAATATACAGTGATTAGTACTCACTTTTCATATTATATTTCCAATTATTTAGATTCTCATCCCATGTTTGTCAATACTCGAAATCATGAGTAGTTTTCCTATATTCTACATCCACACTTGATTTTATTTCTACCTCAGCGTGTACATAGTTTTGTTTTCTTCTTTCTACTAACATCTTCTTCCGACTCAGAATTCTTTGTCCATTTCGTTTTTCTTTCTCTTTTACATTTCGTGTACATTCTTATTTGTGTTCTATGAGCAGTTTTGTTGCCAAAGCAATGTAGTTGGTAGAAAAACGGACATTTTGAGCATTTTGTAATCGGAATTAATCAATTGACATGCTTTTAAAACATAATGTGTCACATAAACTCTTGGTATTCTAATGATGAATATTCTTGATAGCGAAAAACTGGTTTACCACAAAACTTCTGTCTCTCCGACTGCCCGTCTGGCTGTAGCCAATGCTAGCACCTAAACTGTTCAGCCGATTTTCTCCCAAATTTATTTTCCTCTATAGATCTGGACAAACCCGAAACCCTGAGAATTTGAAATGAATATTATTATTTTTGGTAGTACTGTACACGAAGCTTTTACAAAATGATTAAAAAGTTCTAAAAAATTGTTCCTATTTTTGATTAAATGTTTTCCTTTAATAGAGCAATAGGACATAAAATGGCGTATGTCTCATTTTCGTTGAACTCTCTGAATTTTCTAAAATTTCGAATGTTTATTAATAGTTTATTTTCATCTTCATAGGATCAATATGAAATAACTAATAAAATATATTAAAATATGCCCATAAAAGAGGAATGCCAATTCATCTATTGGCAAATATGCCTGTACTCTACAATATTAAATTTTGCATAATATTACATTCAAAACTTAAGCAAAAGATATAGTCGTACTTGTGAGAGGGAATTTAGAATTCACTTCTGTATCATTGTTTCTACTAAATAGGAGTAAAGGTGTCGGGTGAAGATGGTGCTATCATTCATTTAATAAGTCCAGATGTCTCTAAAAAACGAACATTTTAATCGAAACGTTGTATAAACGTGTGCACAGAGCTACAGTATGTGTGTAGAAAGCTTCAAGAAGAATATTTTACTTCCTCGAATACACGTCACTCGCAAAACCCTTGATTTTCCTGTGATTGACAAAAACTACGGAAATGTATCTTAGCACTTGCCCGACCCCTTCTGTTCTTACATAGAAATATTGTACACATAACGATAAGAATTCTTTTCGACAGATGAGTCGTGTATATATACAGGCATTTGTCCTCCACATTCTTCATGTCAATACAATGAGGAGAGTGGAAGACATGAATGTCGCTGCGATGAAGGATATAATTTACAAGGAAGTACCTGCGCACTTCAAGGTAAGTTGTTTGAGATTATGATATTTAAATATTTCTTACAAAATTGTGCACATCTTTAAATTATGAATGTAGGAATAACTAGATAAGTTGCCCGCGAAATTCTGTTCCGCGCATCAATTGTTTCTTAAATATTCCTATTTTCTTTTACCGGAGACGCTTGTAAATGCTCGTGAGTAACTGAGTTACAAACGTTTATTGTTTTGTAGACATTAAAAGGCGCAGTTTGTGTTTAACTGTTTGAAAATACTGTATTTTTCTCAAGTGCGTATTGAGGATATTGAGAAACTAGTGATGTAGTGCAGCAGTCTAAAAAATCTGGAAAATATCATTCTAAACAAGTGCATTATAAAAAAAAAGTTTGGAAAAAAATCCACGCGCTTTAGATCTTTTTTCATTTTATGCATTTTTTAAACCTTCATTATAAACACCGGACTTATAAATGTACATGAATATTTATTTCGTTGTAAAGAACGATAATTGAAACAAAATAACTATCAAATAAACACAAAAGTGGAAAATTGATAATATATGACCATCTACGCCAAAGCGGAACAAAAGTTAGTCCTCATTAAAATATGTAACAACACGTTTGCGACTAATGTAAGGTTAATCTTTCTTTTCAGGAATTTGCAGTACAGATGATGATTGTTCACCGAATTCGGTGTGCGTGTGGAGTATTCAGTTTAACCACTATCAGTGCGTCTGCAAAGAAGGATATTATGTTTTAAATGATGAATGTCACTTAGACGCAACGGAGGGCGAGGAAGAAACAGGTATGGCACAAGTGATTTATTCCGACTTACTCCTATTAATACATAAAAGGCAAAAAGTTCTATAGTGACGTTGTAGGAACACAACAGCAACACGGACACGAGCTCAGTTATTTACAAGGTTTATTAATAAATAAGTATTTACAAATAAATAGTTCAAACAGTTATTTACAACTGTAATAGACCCGTCCTCTGATCGCAGGAGTGATCCTTATCTGATTGAAGATCGGCTTTAGTCGTGGTCCTGGCTACTCCTCAACGAGAGCACGCACACATCGGAACACTCCATGACCGCAGTCACGTGTCACTGAACACCCTACGGCTTCCCAACACATGAGTCGCCCCACAAGCGTAGCTCGCCTCCGCACCGCCCTGAGCGCAAGTTTTGTGCGTTCGCACGAGGTTTTCACGCAGCTCACCCCCCCCCCCTCTTCCCGTCTTGCGCTGTCTCATAAGGCGGCACCACACATTCGGCATTCGCCGAGCAACTAGCTACAGTTGCGAACTTGCTGTGACAAAACTAATGATACTACAACAGCACCTTCTTTCCCACATTATTCGTTATGGTTACGCAATATTTTAATACCATATGTGCCTCCAGAAGTGTTTCCAACCAGTAAAAATGTTTTCCACGCTCAGATTGGAATTTAGGTCCAGGTCCAGCATGCCAATCACGTTACCCCTACACCACCCTCCTCAAAGCAAATTGCAACTTTCCGGAATCTTTAAAAACAAAGTTGAACATTTGCATTTGCAATTTTCACAAATTCAGACATTTTCATTCACGTTATTTTAAGATCTAGTTTTAATGAACAGATTTATGTTAAAGAAACTCTAACTTCAATATTGTAGTTGTAGGAAGGCGCCGAAAAAATTTAGAATTTTCGTAACTTCGGAGACTTTTGCGAAAATGGAACCTACGTCTTTTTTAAACATACTTGCTGTACTCGAGAAAAAATTATCAAAAAAATTATATCCATTTGTGAGAAAACTTTGAAAATGTTGAGGCTTCATCATATGAAGTTCTCCCAAATTTCAAAATATCCATTTCGAATTGGTAGCCGTTAATTCGTCCCCATCGATCAAGGGATGCCAATTTTGGAGAACATCGTCTGAACGGTTTAGGCACCAGTGTTGGCCACAGACAAACGGACAGATACTGTGACAATTTTTTTCTTTCTCGCCTTATTTCGTAAGAAAGCGACCGCCGGAAACGGCGCGATTTTTCGATAGAAGTACTTACTCCCTGGTAACGAAAAAGTGAATAAATCTTGTTCCTATATACATTAAATTACTTCCTCTTACACGTTGTGAAGTTAGAATTCATGTTTTGTGAGTCTTTGATACGTAAAAATGTATTGTCGACAAAATATCTCTCTGCATGCCCATTGCCCGTCGGTCTGTGGTGAATGATAGCACCTGTTAAAATATGTTGTTATTATATTCTCAGGCGATCGTTCTACTTTCTTGAACGTTCTGATGTTCCTTAGATTGTAATCTTCACAACGTTTTCTTTCTGTAACGTTTATTCTCTAACATTTTGCTCGGGTGCACCTTCAAGTGTCGACACTGCTGCTGCGGGCGTAAGCTGCTCTGGGTACCCCCTGGACGTGAATGGTCATAAACGAATAGAATGTGGAATTATCTGTGAAATTAAGTTGACTGATGTTCTGTGAGGTATCATAGCACGGGTCTGTGTCTCACTACTTTGGTAATAAGTTTTTTTTTAAATATTAGAATGTTTACTCGACTCATTACCAAATCTACATAATGTAACGCACAGTACAGGGCTTTTCATTATCTATCTCTTTTTGTCAGAAACAAAATTTGTCTTTGAACGCCATTATTTTAACTTCAAAAGAAAAATCTCAAAGATTGCTATGCGAACGTCGCAGACTATTATTATTCGTATTGCAATGTGAAAAACTCTCACAGGTGCAACGGAAACTAATGATAACATTTACATTTAATTAACTCTAATATATTATTTTGTTTTCAGAACCCCAGCAAGAGTGCGAAAACACGTGCCATGAGAACGCTCATTGCGCCTACGACACGTTTAAGAAAATGTTCAAATGTCGCTGCAATTTGGGGTACAGAGGAGATGGAATACATTGTGAGAGAGAAGTCACGCCGTGCAATTTAGTGAATAATTGTAAAACAGGAGAAGAATGTGTCTATGACAAGGTTGTTCAAGGATACAAGTGCAAATGTAAGAAAGTAAGTACTTTCATATCCTTTTGTTATGTGCAAAAATATTCAAATCTACACTAATCTAAATATATAATCTACTACATACCACCAAATCTTGGAACGTACTGGAATAATTAATGTACATTCAGTCAAATTCGTTTTTTGTAGGAAAAGATTTTTGTTTTGGATTTTCTAATATTTTGGGCAAATTTCCCGTTGTGGTTATATTTTGAAGAATCAAAATATTAATTACTATTTGAGTCCACAATATCCACAATATATCACATTAAGAGCAAATGCCTTCTTCAAACAGAGTACAAAATTTTATGGTTCAAGAATTCACTGATTATGATACAATGATTCACTGCTTGGCACATGTTTATCTTCAGTTGTTTCTCATTATTAGACACATGGGTGGCTAAGTGGACGAGTTCAGAAGAAGTGTCGCGCGCGACCATCTCGGGTTTTGATATTAAAATAAATGGGGTTTGAGGATTAAAATAAATGGAGCTGTTATATCTCTGAAATAAAAGCTTGAATGAATGTGTGTCCCATGGACGTCAATTTGCAATTCAATGTGATATCATTTCTCTTACTTTGAATTTCCTAGTCAAGAGACAATACTCCTAACGTAAGCCTTGATCGTTCTAATATCCGTCAATATCATTTCCCCTAATGGATGAGATCTTGAGACCTAAAATTTTCGATACAATTTTCCAAATTCTGTAAGAAGTCAACTGTCTAAAACATAGGCAAACTATATTATGGCTTGTATTGGCTTGAACGGCATTTGACAATACTAAACTTCTGTACACCACTAACAACGCATATGACGCAAAATACACTTGTTATTTATTTAGTGCACATTTTCAGAGTCATCGAAGGATGGGAAACCGTTGTATTCCAGAAGAAACATGTTTAGACGATCCCAGTATGTGTTCACCCGATGCTACGTGTGTCGCAAGCTCTGAGAATCATTTCCAGTGCAAGTGCAATGAAGGTTTTGTGGGAAATGGTGTTACATGTACACCGATGCTTCAAGAGAGAGAAAACCAATTTCTTGTAACTCAAGGAATGGCTGTTTTGAAGATAACTGTTTCAAAAGAAAAAAATGAAAGCCGACCGATTGTTATGAAACTATTTCAGGAAGCAGTAGGTAAGAGTGAATTTCAAGGGATGTTGCTGATATTATTTATGCGTACATAATTACAGCAAATAATCAGAAGTAATTTTTTCCAATATTCATGAATTTGTTGTGTATTATCACTAATCTCATTTTGAATATTTACACCTAATTACTCTCTAAATGGAGGACGAATTGACAGCAATCAGCTGCGACGCGATTATCCAATCGGAAGCTTCGTTACAATTTACTTTTTTGACATTGAAGCTCCTGATCAAACGTCAATTCTCCTACATTTAAATCGGAGTATACTGTTTGAGGCGGTGCGTGATGATCTAGAAAGTAGATGATAGAGATATTGATTATGGTATCCTCAAAATCAGATTATGACGAAATGGTGAAGCGTTGGGAGGGGGGTGCCGAGGACTCGCTTTGTCAACAACAAATCCCATAGCGATGATCTGGACTGAAATCGGGCCCCGGCGATGGAGTGCGTTTGAACTAGCCAAATGTCAGGACATGGGAGTTGTATTTCGTTCACTATCAAATAATCGATTAAAACCAGCATTCGCCTCTTGCGTAAAATTTAATTTATTGTGACTATAAGTCCTAATCAAATATATTCTACACATTATTTGTATCCAATACATGAGAATAAGCGACCTAGACATTTTTGAATGTCGGTTTCCCGCTTCTTTGTTGGGGATGTTCTGCACAATTATCCTCGTTCAAGAAACGTCGAAGAGTCACAAGAAACAAACTAAATGAGTTTATGACTACTTTAATCTAAATATTCTTTCATAAATATTGAAAAATGGCCCACCGAAAACTAGCGACCTTACAAACTTTTTCATTATTTGTAATGAACATGGAAATCTGTAGTGACTCGTGGCCTCTGAATTGCAGGTGCCAAATATCTGCAGTAGGAATAAAAATCATGAAATAAATCACTGCAACAATTATCTTGTTTTCCTATCTTCTTTTTACTCTCTTGCTTTTATAGGTAAGAAGAAAAAATTGTAAACGTGCGCCGGAATTGGCGATTTTTCGACAGAAAAACATTTTTAGACGAGTTCTGGTAACGAAAAAGAGGATAAATCGTGTTTCTATGTGTAGTACATTACTTCCTCTAAAACATTGTTTAGTCAGAGTCCTCGATACCGAAAAATCTATTGACGACAAAATGTCTGTTTGTCTATCCGTCTATCTGTTCGTCTGTCTGGTCAGCGGCCAAACCGTCAGACGATACTTTCCAAAATGGATATTCATCTGATTAGAATTCATCTGATTCACCTAAACGACTCAAGGCCTTGCCAGTTTGAAGCGAATATTTTCGTTTTCGGGAGAACTTTACATATAACCTCAACATTTTCTAAAAAATGGATCCAAATTTTTTGATTGAACTTTGTTCTCGCATAGCGTAAAGAACGCTTAACAAAATAATGAAAAATATGATTTTCAATGACTAATTTTCAAATAAAGTCATGTTACATTTTTCGAAAATATAAGTATATATTTTTAAACGAGTATTTTTTGTATATCGACTCCAACTTTTTATTTAAACTTTTTTGCGTATATATTAATGGACAGAAAAAGAGTATTACTGCTCCGATTTCTGTCAAACTCTCAATATTTTCGAAGAAAGTGAGAATTTTCTATATAAAATTTTCGATCACAAACACTTTCTAGTTTTGAAAAAAAATCAGAACAACGAGAAGCATTACTATAAAAATACTTGAGAGTTAAAATGATGGTGAATCAGGACCCAGGATGAAGTAATCTTATTCCAGTTTTATACTTTCTGATTTTTGTAATAAAAGTGATTGAGAATTGTATTGAAAATTGCTCATTATTTCATGATAATTGTATCCATATATTTTATCCAAATATTTAATGCCATTGTCACGATAACGAATAGACTTCTTATTCCTGTCATATTGGATTTGCTTGCAGGAATCGACGTGGACTGCCTGAGAGGCAGATTATATTGGAGTGATATTGCAGGAAAAGTGATAAAAAGTTCATTCTATAATGGATCGGATGTCCAAATATTCTTAGATACAGGTAAGATATTATTTTAACGTAATCACGTTTTTTGTAAGAAAATATTTTGGACTATCACACTCATGGGTTTTGTCACAGAAATGTTCCAATTTTTCTTACATTCTAGAACGCCTAAACGAGCCCATAAAGGCACACAAATAGTTACAGTCCTTTTTTTATGAAATATCTTAAGGTTTTTTTTTCGAAAGGAAAGTATGCATTATTGAATGCAATAACAACCATTGTAAAACATAAAAAAAGTGGAAAGGAAATACATATAGAATTTTAAATATATGACATTGATCACATTGAACTCCTTGAAATATTTCGGTAAAGAATTTCCCATAATACATCATTCTTCTTAGAAGTAGAGATTATATTGCGGTACTAAGATGTTTTTTCACAAATGCCTATTTTTAATGCATTTTAGGATTTTTCATTAAAATATCACCTTTGACTTTCTCTCCTACTACACATTTTTTTGGCTTCTTCCTCTCACTACAATATTGAAAGTAGAGATTTTTTCTCCTTGATGGAATCAGTTTTTCAAAACAGATCTTTAATTCAGATATTGTACAATTTTTGGATAATGTGAGTATTTTTCATGTAATTTTGTGTGAAATATAGGCTATATTTACAAAATTATTTTCTCAAAAAGACTTTAATTTTTTTCTGGAATAGAATGACGTATGCTTATGACAATGGTGCAGGTCTCCCTTTCCGTGAACTCTGTATTTTAGAAATTGTCAAAAATTAACGTTTCAAAACTATAATATTAATGATAAAGATGTTTTACTTAATGAAATCTGTTCTGAAAAATTCGATTTGTAAATTGATCATATACATTTTTTAATGAGTTATTTGCGTAATTTTTGCTTGAATGTAGGAGATATAAAAAAAATTCTTCCAAACGCCTTCATATTTTTCTTTAATATGCTTTTGGTAAAGAGCAAAGTACGCTTATAAAAATGGTGCAGGTTTCATTTTTATTCAACTCTACGAGTTTATGAAAATTGCAAAAATTAAGAATAATGCGAGAAATAATGTGTTGTAGCACTATTAGTTCCTATCAGTGTTATAAAGTTTTCATACCTAGTAATTACTTTTTTTGTTGGAGAAACATATACTACCCACAACTAAAGTTTGAGGCAATCTGAGTATCCTATGATAAGCTACAAGCCCTTCAGCAATGTTTAGCAACTTACAATATTTCTTGCTTATACTTGCTTTTAACAAAACCTAAGGTTTGATTCTCTTATAATCACTAATCTGGTTGAATAATATTATTTAAAATAAAATCAACACAGAAAATATAATTCAGTGTAATTAAAAAATATATTTAATAAAACCGGTGCTTAAATACTTAAAGGCCTTAAATGATCATTTGTTTAGAATAATGTTAAAATTATCAGTAAATTGCATCACTAAATACTGAATTTTTATAAATACCATATCAAAAGAACAATTTGTACATAAAATTTAACAAACAAAAACTATTAAAACACATAACAGTATCTCATGTAAAACCTAACAAGACCCTGCAGGAAGGAATGCATATTTAAAGTAATTAAAATCATCAGTGAAGGTTTAATAAATAAGGAAATACCTTGAACAATAATTATCTGCATTAAATATATTCGTAAAAACTTTTTGACATTGGGTTGACCCTTAAAAACTTTTTGTACTTTCCTGATAAAACAAATATTTTTAGTCTGAAACTAAAATAATACATATGTTTTAGATTTGGGGTCCCTTGAAGGTTTGAGTATTGACTGGATTTCAAGAAACATATATTGGACTGATTCCCATAGAGATACAATAGAAGTTGCCAACATAGATCACAAAGGAAGGAAGATATTAATTTCAAATGGACTTACGAACCCGCGAGGAATCGTAGTGCATCCTGAGCTCGGGTAAATATAAAATTTCAGATAATGATTCAGTATTCAGAAATAGCAAAGTAATTCAAGTCCCATGCAAAATTAAATATTATTAATTCTTTCATGAACTATCTAGAAAATGGTATTGCGTCTTGTTGAAAAATAAGAACATTGCCGCTCTTGTTTCGAACAACAGCGGAAAAATTCAAATACTGAATCATCCATACATACATTTTCTGAATAGCGTATAAACCTTCCCAACACCTTAGAAAGAAAGTTAAACATTTGCAATTCTTGAAAATTTGGCGATTTTAATAAAAATTGGACAATTTTTAGACGCAAATTAAATTTTGCAGATTTTAGAAAATCTTGCTTACGTCATTTGTAGAATTTCATACTATTTCACTCAAACCGACGCGAAAAATACTCATATTTTCAAAATACTTTGTACTTGTCATTTTTTAAAGATGTAATTTTGAAGAACAGATTTCATTAATAAAAATATATGCCACCATTATTATATTTGTTTGAAGATGTCGACATATTTTTAACTTTTGCAGTTTTAAAAATCCAGAAATTTCAAAGAAAATCGGACTTGCGCGATTTTTATAAGCGTACTTCGCTCCATTCAAGATAAAATTTAATCAAAATATTTTATCCATTTCTGATAACATTTGCAAAATGTTGAGACTTAATGTGATGTAGCCGCCAAAAGTAAAAAATTCGTTTCGAATTCACAGGATATCAAGTTCGACCAGATCGATCGGCGAGTGTCAATTTTGGATTTTCCTACAAAGAGTGCACGCGCTACTGTTGCTCAGACGGACAGACAGTCGTTTAGCTGTAAATCAATTTTTAGTATCAAGGATCCACAAAACGCGTAGTCTCACAACACAGTCTATTAGAGGAAGTAGTTTACTATGTATTGGAGCAAGCATGATCACATGTTTAGACCTAGAAAACATTTTTTTCTGTCGAAAAATCTTCGTTCTTCTTTGCAGCATTATATAACTTTCTCTTTACAACGAAGTAGCATGTGAGAAAGTAAAAATATGCACACTGGTATTCAACCACTTGTCATTGCGTGGCGCCGCAAATTTACTGAAGAAAATTGATTCAGAATGATTCAGAACTGAATTGCGTCTTTTAGCGTGTGTGTTTGCGCATTAGCGTTCTTTCAAAAGTTTGCCGTTGTCTTCTCCGATGATTTCGCTCACTCAAGTACGGGCAGAACATACCGATACACGGCTCAGCATTGTTCATGCAACCGCTGGGCGCTGTCACTACCGTTTCTCGCTGTAGATACTCGCTTCACAAAGACTCATTCTTAAGCGAATACTTTCATATAGCAAAATATCTGGTGAAGAGAAGTTAAACCTGTATTTGAATGAAAAATGTTTACTTTATCCTACTTCATACTTACGTGGGAAAGAGAAATATTTAAATTCTGCAGTGAAAAGTGGCGAGATTGTAACAGACCAAAAATCGTTTTGTGAACTCGTGATTCCAAAAAATAGACAATGCTTGCTCCAATATGTAGTAAATTACTTTCTCTAACATCGTATAGTGAGAATCGCCATGTTGTGGATTCTTGTTACCTAAAAAGTGAATTATAGTAAAATGTCTCTCCGTTTATAGACAACATCGTTTATAGAATTTTCTCCAAAATTGATATTTCCTCATCGATCCGGCCAAACTCGAGGCCCTACGAATTTGAAAAGGATATTTTTTATATCAAGTTGGAAATTTTTTTAAATTTTCTCAAAAATGGCTCCAAATTTGTGTATTATTTTTATTTTTCGGATACAGTAAATAAGTCTGGAAGAAAATTGCGCAAGTCACACCTTCGTTGAACTATCTGAATTTTTGAAAATAGGAAAAGTTCAAAATTTATTCGTTTTCCTAGAACTTCAGTTTCGAAGATTTTTCCCCCTCAATTATATCTGTTCTCTTAAGGCATACATCGCTGATATTTGGATTTGGGGAATAATTTACATGAAATCTCAACATTTTAAAACTGTTCTATAAAGGGGCGTTTTTTTCTCGAATTAGGCAAAGTAAACTTGTAGAAATGACGCAGGTCTAATTTTCATTCTGAATTTTGGAAAATAACAAAAGTTTTTTTTGTCGCATTTTACTACAACTACAATATTGAAGACAGATTTTTTTCCTATTGAAAACTGGTCTTCAAAAGTAGGTCCTTATGTTTTGGGAGGTTGGAATATCTATCCGTTGCACCTATTGCACTTTCTTTTTATAGCGTCGAGAAGGTTGTTATGCAGACTAAGTGGCATGTAATGGTTCGCAACGAACGCATGAGCAGTTTGCTAGTATACATTATTTCTTAGAGAGCATTTTTACTTGTTCACATCAAGCACGGCAGGGAAAGCGCTGGCGATGACGAAGATACACAACGCAGATAATTTTTAGAGTAAATCCTCATAGAATGTTTAAAAAGCATGAAACTTTGATTCCCAGTCGCTCATATTTTGCGTTTTTTCGGATTGGATACGTTAAACATTTGCCCTTGTCGACGGGCATGTCTTGGGCAATAAATACCTCTGTGGGATCGTTCTCAACTACTTCTTTGACTTTCCCTACTTGAACAGGCGATACAGCTCCCGCGTGCATATTGGAAAATCTCCTGACTGCGCACCTCAACGGAAAATACTGCTTCTCCCGAAGGTACGACGATTGCACCCGCGGTCAACTCTTCCTAGGCCTTTAACCTACCACCCCGAAAGGCATAGCCCGTTTGCATCACGTTCGGTCTTTCTCCCGAGCCCAAGGAAGAGCTCGCTCAGTGTCCAGTGCTTCCAGGATCGCTCTTTGCACGAATGCTTCTTTTATAGGCGCTTTTTTGGTCTTACTCTTGTGTTGTACTGATAGGAAGAATAAGGCAACACAAATCTTGTCATTTTGGAAATAAGCTGTAGTGAATATTATTAATTAATTGAAACTGATTTCTGCTGTGGATGCTCCTCTTCCCTGTGCATACGAATACGCACAATTACAGTAATTATATGAAGTACACTGCCTTAATGATTCTGCTATGATCACCAGAGCGAGAAGATCGCATCATTTGCGTTACTCGTGAATGGAAACTTTCCTATACTGTTTCCTCCTTCCCCTCCCGAAACATCGACCGGGATGCAATCGGGCTATATCTTCTCAGGTAGCGAAAACTGAAAGGGAATTAACTGGGATGCGGGTATGGAAGGAAACTGCGAGACGTTATCGGGGGACTCCCCTTCCCCTTTTGCATACCTAGCGGCGGATCGAGACGGTTGCCTAAAAGCCCATTCGCAATGCAGACGTAAACATAAGCACAACGCATAGACATAAACATTAATATAAATGATAGACTGAAGTTTTCACAATGTCTGACATAAACGTAAGCAAAATAAAAGTTTCTATTGGCTGTGAGACATTCTAGTTTACAGTTGGATGTGAGAATCGATTTCGAGGTATCGACTGAGTCCATGGCCCATAAGGCGTTAGTTCGTCAATCGACTTCGATACTCGATTTTGAGTTAACGTACTGTGATTGGTCAATTTCTTATGCCTTACTTAAGCATAAGCCCAGAAGCTTGAAGCTTGCAAACTTTGCGAGCATATTATCGCATGTTAAAATAAAAATTATCACATAATATCCTTACGCATAGCATGTAATGCTACAACTTGTACAGAACATTATCGATTCTGTGGTAGTATTTGAACTTAATGAGTAGTTGATTGCACAACCGGAAATAAACAGAACCCAATTAAAAGGGACATTTAAGGGCATAGATTTTGGTATCAGATAGGCTTCAGCCTACATTTTATTTTCATGAAACCTTAGTGAAAAGTGTTTGAGATAAAAAAAAACAGGTTGACTATTAAGAAAAACAATTTTCAAAACCTTTTCCGAGAAAGGAAAACAAATGGAATAGATTATTTTCAACGAGAACAAACGGCTCATATATTTACAGAAGAACATTTTATTTCCATGACCACAAAACGAAACTGCTTCTACGGCCCTAGTCTCTGTATAGACGTTACAAAAAGTAACAAAACAATCTTGAAAGGTTTGAGGTAACGTATTGAAAGTAAATTTAAACTCTCGCCATTTGACTCATCAAAAACTCTTATCCATCCACAGCACTATCACAATGGCAGTCGAGGCGTAGAACTATTTACAAAAAATATCGAGACGGCAATTCCTGTAACACACTCTATCGGCAAACCATTTAAATGTGGAGTTCGTCGTCTTGGCCACTGACAAATGTTTACTTGTGGAACACTACCATGTTATTATTCACATTTTTTTTAAATTGGAGTTTTTTAAATTGGAGTCAGATTGGCTTCTGAACGCCTCAGTTGAAAGATATTTAGCTTAGGAAATTAAATGTTAAAATATTTGTGTTGCAAACGCTCTCAATAACCATGTAAGAAACTGTACTGAGTATCAAAAAGAAAAGTAACATTGATTTTAAAAATGATACTTAATGTATTGGTTAACATTTGTACTGTATAATTCTAAAATAATAAATTTGAATGTAACATGTTTTGTATCTCAGATTGTGGGTCAATGACCCCATCTCGATCAGGTTTTTCGTCCTTTCAGCAAATGATGAGATGTCTCCTTGTTTTGCTTTGGACATAAATGTAGCTTCACTATAAGTCCATGTTTTCTTGAACTCAGTAAGGAGTATAGTTATTCAAATAATCGATCTCCACGTGTTCGCGGCAGTAAATAGACGCCTTCACGAAGGGCAAGATAAGGGGATAATAGCCAAAATCTGTTGCTGATTTGCCTTTACAAATAGCTTTTTTACACGGAAGCGAATATTTTCTTATCAATTTTTGCCACAAACGCTCGTGTCTACCCGTACTCGTCTACCCCAACCTAATATGTAATTTTTTTTTTTTTAATTTATTTCTTCTCGTTCGACCAAAGGTCTTTCGAGGGGTTTGGGTTTTACATACTGACATTTTGGGATTTGGGCATTCCTGACAAATTGAGATTAGATACTCTGACTCGTTTAATTCGTTGGTTTGCTTGTAGAAGCAGCTGGGATTTATTTTTGATTTTTTTTTGGAGAGGGGGGGGTAGGTTGTTAGGATTGCCCTATCGAGCAATAGGAAGGGAACGTGAAAGATTCTATTTAGATACGGGATGATATTATTGGTTTAGGGAGGTTTAAGCATGTCTTTGGGAAATTTGGATTTGATTCGGCTTGAGATGTTTGCTGTTCGACCTAGGTGAAATTTCAGGGCGGAATGAGATGAAGGAAATATGTAAATGAGTTAGAGTAGCCATTTCAGAGCTCAAGAAACAGATTGTACTTCTCGTCATAGTATATCAGTCAGTTTTTTACGTTAAATAAATAGAGAAATAAAAACATTTAACTAGTTGTTTAAAAAACGAACATTTATTTATGTGAGAATAATGGGTGTTGTGTTTGTTATAATTTTCTTTTCAGAAAAATGTTTTGGTCTGACTGGAACCGTAATAGACCAAAAATTGAATCATCAAATCTGGATGGAACTGAACGACATATATTTTTGGAAAGCATTCTAGTGGGTCTTCCAAATTCTTTAGCTATTGATTGGAGTAGTAATGAATTATGTTGGGCCGATGCAGGAATTCATGCAATAGGTAAGTATCCATTCAGTATCGTATTACGAAATGCGTTTAACAAAACATTTAATCCATTATTTTAACCTTTTAGGTTGTGCTGACATAAGCACTTCGGAGTCTAGAATTGTTGTTGATGGAATAAAATACCCTTTTGGATTAGCAATTACTCCAAGCAGCTACTTCTGGACGGACTGGGAAACGTAAGATATTAATTAGTTGTATGAAGTAATTGTATAATTTTCTTAATATTAAAAACCTTCTTTATGTTATATATTTTCATACCGTCATTTCATTGTAATGGACATTATTTTATTCATATTCATGATTTTATAATTCCGTTTGCGAAGACATATTTTTAGAGTGAATAGTATGGTGATATGGAAATAATTTTCTCGTGATTTGGAAAACCAAAAATAGTCTAATTCTTCAATAAATAGAGAACCTAATCCACAACCCCCCTCCCCCAAAAAAACACTACAGAATGAGATACACAGCACTTCTCCATGCTGATTATTCTTGAAATATGTTAGATTCGAAATGTGTTGTTATGGAAAGATCGGATTTGAAGTACGAACTGGTAACATTTGGAACTATTGGAGTGAACACTGTTACTCGTTGAGTGCACAATTGCAAAACTTATTCCCTCTGTGGTGTATCTAGCGTGGTGGCTGTGCATCCGACCCACCCAGTGGAAACATATTGCTTCCTTCCCGCTCCCCACGTGCGAGCTTTTCACTTCCACGTTCAGGAAGTATTGCGCAATCGGCGATAGTGTTCACTGTCATTTCTACTTATCGAATAACATTTCAGGAAAGCGATAATTGACGGAAAATTCCATCTTCTCCTGTGTCATCTTTTACATTTCTCATGTGCGACAAGATGCGTTTCTCTATAATTTTCCGTATTGTGAGAATAGAGATGGGGCGGTAGCTAGAATTTGAGGGGAGTTCTGCTGTTTTTATGCCTACTTCTATGGAATTCTACCATGAAAGAGGATAGCACCCTGTACCGGAGGCGGCTGCTCCGTAACGACATCTGGGTGGCGCCCTCCCCAGAAAAACCAACGTCGGGTGAAGTTGCATAAATTATTTCATTTGCAATAAATCGTGTCGGTTCATTTGTGCATACCACCAGCGCAATATTGAGGACAAATTTAGTTTTATTGGATGTGTCCGCTTAAGCGAAATATTAATGTTTTTGGAATGGGTCATATCGTGGACTATCGCGAGTTCGTAGCCAGTGCGTGCCGGTGCGACAATGGAAGCTTGAGGAAGAGTGGGTGGGAATACAGGGAGTTGGGTGGGGACAGCGTGCTGCTATGGCTGGTATTACACTGTAAAATATATTTGACAAATATCTTTGATGAAGAACTTCGTGGAAATTCTTTGAACTTTGACAAAGACATTTGACGATCGTATTAAATTTCGTGCATTGTGGTTTTGCTCACGATTCAAGATGGATGTCGTACAAATAGTAGTGTTTGTGCGACTTTATGCTTAATTATAACTAATCTATGTTTAATGCTGAAGAATTAAAAGGTAAAGAGGAAACGTTTGAGAGAGAGGCCATAGAATAACGCCATGCTATTCATCCATAGTGACGCTATGGTTGGCACATTGAGAAGTATTAATTAACGAACTTAGAAATGAAGAATTATTTGAGGATTGACGAGGAAACATTCAATTTTCTTTATCGTTCTTCTTCCTTCTCTCGAAATTGGGTACTCTGATTTTGAAGTTAAAAAATATTCATGAATTGGGCATTTTTAAAAACTTAAATTTTCCACTTCTCGGGAAAATGTGTCCGCGTCAATTCGTTTGGTATTTATTTTTGAAGTCCAGATGGACAGTCCTATTATATAAACTTTCAAATTGCTCATACTCTGTAATTAAACCTTTGGTTGAAGCAATTCCCCACGTATATCTGTCATAGCCCTCGTTACAAATATCGGGACGACAAAGACAGTACAATACCTGTCTATGAGGGTTTTGTTCGGCAGAGTCAGCTGAAAATACCGACCTCTTCATCTCATTTCATAAATTACTGTTTTGATTACTGGAAATATTTTTTTTTTAGTTTCTTATTTTCGTATGAACACATTTGTATGTTCCGTTATCAACGTAAACGTTATCTTAGGCAAGGATTAAAACCCTGATGCGTAAAAATTGGTTGTATGCTACAGTTTTCCTCATTCAAGAAATATTTTGAGCAAGTAAAATATGTGATAGTTCGCAAATGCATGCCACCCCTTCTAATTTACAACCCACTACTGGCCTGTACGTACAATTCAATTGTATACGTTGTTAAGAAATGCTAGGATAAATATTTGAGCACAAAGGTGATTATTCTATCGCCTCTTGTGTATTTGTTCACTCATAAGAATTGAAGCATTTTGTTTTCCTCCGCCGCATTATTATCGTCTACGAATATTTCGAAACGTTATATTCACGATTCGAACGATTTTTCACTCGAATAGATAGGTACTATTACTATAAACATTATATTTATTGTTTCTCTGTGTGCTATATTTAGTTACTATTTATTTTCGTCTCGTCAACTTCAAACAACGAACCCCCCCCCCCAACACACACACACTCACACCGATTTCCTTTGACACGTGGAGCAAATACCGAGGTTCCTGGTTTCCTACTCATAACTCCTCCAAATATCAGTGCATGTTTTATTGTATTTTTAGAAATAAGTTTTGTTTTTGTAATTGCAGGCAAAAGATTGAAAGTGCCCAGAAAAACAGTGGACATAGAAATCATGCCATAATTACCTTATCACCAGCGATTGGAAAGTTATATGGAATAGTGGCAGCCCGAAAAGAATGTCCCAGGCGTAAGTGCTGTCTTTGCAAAACTTTGAAAAAAGCTACTTTAAAAAATATACTTTATACTTCCAAGAATACCTCTAATATTGTAGTCATTAGTAGATATTATAACCGACACTTTCAATGACAATACCAAAGGACAACTGTTCTTAGATAGCTATCAATTTTATTTATTTATTTATTTATTTATTTATTTATTTATTTATTTATTTATTTATTTATTTATTTTGAAAAATACATAATTCACATAATTTTCTGCCTGAATTTGAAATTAGGTCGGTACAGTATATATTTTGCAGTATTACGATCAGAAATGCGTCTCGAGTGAGCTCATACTTCAAAGCAGTGATCGCGAAACTTGTGAGCAACCATATCGTTTTCAATCTTATTGTGAGCTACCAAGGAACCAAAACAGAAAAAAAAACAGATTTTAATAAATATTTTCAAGAAAAATAAATTGAAATGTACATTACAAAGAAATTGAATTATAGTTACAAATTGTTAATATAAGAACAGATTTTTCATCAGACTTGTCAATGATAAGGATGGTATTCTATTTTATCATTAACAAGTTTTTTTTATGTTGAGAGAGTTGCTTGGGACTGTCATTCAAGTACTGTTGTCCAAATGTTCATCAATGAATCTGTTTCTGTACTTGTTTGTGCTCTGTAGAACAAGTCCAGTTTAGCCAACTTTGAGCATGACCGCGATCCACCAAAAATTGGCCCACGGGCTACTAGTAGCTCGCGATCAATGATTGGACGATCACTGCTTTAAAGGCTATGACAACCTTATTGTGATTCATATAGTGAACCTAATTGTTAATTTTTAATGGAAATAGAAATGTATTTTTTTAATGCAGTGGCAGATTCAGAGAAGCCTGGCTTCTCTTTCCCTTATCTTAACATTTTTTTGTCTGCAAAAACTATTTAAAATAATTTCCACGTATTGAATATATCACATACCAAAGAAGTACTTCCATAATAAATTAACATTTTTAGAAAATATATGCAATATTTGTTAATTTCAATAATTTCAATTTCATTTTGTTTGTTTTCTGAATTGCTTAAAATATTCCTACATCTGAATTTATTCTTAAAATATTCCTACATATTATTTTTTCATGGTTTCAGTGACAAATAATTGTGCATACAAAAATGGTTTCTGTGGAAGTGAACATCTTTGTCTCCCAAAAGGTTCAAGAGAACATAATTGTGTTTGTGCCAATTTCAATGAAGAAGGTTCAGGAAGTGAATTTTCATGCAATGAAATTGTGTAAATGACTTAAGTAGTCTAGAGTAACAGGAACAATGTTTAAGATATCTGCAAAACGTAGTTCACAATTTTACGTAAATAATTTGTAAAGGAAATGGAATAATCATTATTTCCTATGTTGATATCCCAAAGTAGTATTTCTTTATTATATATTTTGTCTACAAGAAAACAAGCCAATCATTTGCAGCGAACAAATTAATATGCATTACAATAATTATTTCTAATGTGAGTGAATATATTTCTTTGTGTAATAAAACTGAAGTATTAATTAATAAAAAGTATGAACTGTATCAATGACAAAAGAACTGAACAATAAAATTTCCATTAATGTTATTCATTATTATTGAGTTACCCAATTTATATTACATACCATCCAATGATAAATAAATGTTTATTCATTATTCTGTATGCCTTGGTCTATTACTTTCATTTTCAAATATAAATAAAATGCGTTTTACCTCTTGGGTGGGTGCGCTCAAACGTGAGCGGGCGCGCTGGGCCCTTCGTGCCGCACAGCGAAATTAAATGTGTAGAATTTTCTTTACTAAAACGGGCAAGGAAAAGATTATGAAAGTACAATCTGAGTATATACAAGGACTTTTAATTGTAAAATACATATAAATATTTCATTCAGAAGAAATATTGAATATTTTTGCGGAAAAAAAATGATTGTTCAGGTATAAGAACGCCGGTATCAAAATAATAAGTTAAGAGTTCAAAAGACAGAATTTAAATGTTTAAAATAATACAATTTAAACAATTATAGCGTTTTCAGTTGCACATATCTTCCTCTTCTTTGGAGCATCTTATGTATTAAATAAGCTGTCGTCAGGTTTAAATTTTGCAGATAAAATTGGAGCAGAAAGTGCCACGTACGATTCTTCTAATGTTTTTGTAGAGACCATATTCACGGCACGCTCCATTTCTTTTTTCTATTGTACTAATTTGCTTACTCGGTCTGTATTTTCCTGAAATACATCCAAAAGTTTTGGAAAGGAACGTATTTCTGCCCTCTCTTTAATGTGCTCATGGAGCCTCATTGCGAAATTCATAAGAAATTTACGTCTGGAGCTCTCTGTAAAGGATTATGTGCTTTGAAAATCTCCTGTGAATTTGTTACCGCTATGGCAATCATTCTAAAAATAGGGAAAGAGGCTACCAAGACGGTAGCCTCTTTTTCTTGTTTCGGGGAACACGACGCACACTTTTGTTCTACATCAACATTTCCCTTTGCTCTAATATAGTTGAGAATAATTGTCTGCTGTTTTTTCAACAGTTTCTCCTAGTGTTTAACGGATATTTTGGAGTAACAGATCGCCACACAAAGTCAGCTGCGCTCCCCCTGCTAGCGCGCGCTCGGGGATGGGAATTGAAGGATCTTAGTATTTGAAGATACGAAACATATTTCAAATATTCACAAAACTGTTGCAGTGTGTTTAGTTTTAGAATCTCATTAATATCTTGGGGTATAATACCCCTTTAAATAAAGTTAAATAACGATCAATCTTATTTCAATACATACTACCTGTTACAAATCCGTATTTTCAATCCTTCAGCAATACAAAAAAAAATATGAAAATGCGGAAGGATGGAAAGCAGAGTTCAGGGAAAAACTGCAACATTTTTGTGCATAATTGGAATATGTTTCGTATCTTCAAATACTAAGATCCCTTCAATTCCCATCCCCGAGCGCGCGTTAGCAGAGGAGAGCGGTGCGTGACCTTGTGTGGCGGACTGTTACATTCCAAATATCCGGTAAACACAAGTTACAAAAAAATCGAAATTACTAAAAAAAATGCTTATCTAACATATAAATATATATATATATATATATATATATATATATATATATATATATATATATATATATGGATTCATCTTCTTACACTGGTCATGATAGATTGAAAAAATATGTTCACTTCTATTTGAAATAATAAAGTTATCTCGATTATATCGTAAAATACAAGGGATAAAATAGAAATGAATACACGATATTAGCCCTATCCTCGCATGCACTTCCGTGAAAACTGCATTGCAATAACTTCAACCATTCAAACGTTATAGGAGGTGCTAAAGTTACGTGACTCGCCAGTTTATATATATTTGCATCACCAAGTAATTTTTAAGTTGCAATGTAGGCAAAGCGGCAAAGCTGAAGAAGTTGAGAAATAAAAGACCAAAGGACTAAATATGTAGTTTCAGGCGTGGATCGTGCGGGGTGCCGCCAAATCGACCTTTCAACTTCGCGCAAGGTTTACAATTGACAAAGCGATGAGAAAGCCTCTAACGTGACTCACATGTGTGAAATAAGGTCGAAAGAGAACACAGGAGATATCTCTCGGAAGCGAGTGTCAACAATCACGCTATCGCATTGGAAGCAAATGTGCGGCACTGAGTGCCGCGGCGGTCCCGCTTAGGGTTCTGTGTCATGTGTAAAAGAGAAAGTCTTTTGGAACAGTTCTGGAGATGTATAATATTCATTTTTACCTATTTTTATTTATCAACTCTTTACAAACCACCGTACATATCATATTCTAATTTCTTTTTTTTATTTTAATTAAATTGCATCGTAGTATATTATGAATCGCTTTTAAAGAATGGTCGATAGATGTTTCGGCGTTTTCCTGACGAAGCTGTTATCTTAACATTCTTAATATTACGCGTGTTATTTAAAGAAAAAATGGAACGGTTTTTGAGAAATTGTATTAACGTCAAGCAAAAAATAGGCGAAAACCACTCGTTTTTTTAAAAATATCCATGCCTTTATTTAATAATCTTATGATAAAAGAGATTTTATTTAACCAAAAACACTTTTCTTCAATATTGCACTTTTTCCAACGTTAATTTTTTGCAAATTTCGAAAATACAGAGAATATACAGCAATGGAACCAGCACATATTTTTACAATTTTTTCCTACACACAAGAAGAAACAAAATTTGAGAAAATAAATATTTAAAATTGTCTTCATTTCATGCAAAAATACATGAAAATTTCTCACATTTTTGAACAATCATGCATGACATAAGATCTGTTTTAAATAACAGTTTTTGTGAAGGAATGAACTCTCTACTTTCAATATTATCGATGTAGGAAGACGCCTGTAAAAATGAAAATTTTTCAATTTTCGAAAATTCAGAGATTTGAATGAAAATGAGACCTGCTCTATTAAACGTTTTCTACGTTATCCAAAGACAATGTTTTTCAATAAAAAACTTGGAGCCATTTTGGAAAATTTTCGAAAATGTTTTTTAATGTCGTGGGATCTTGAGTTCGTTCACCGAAACGCCTTGTAAATGATTTGTCTCTGCGAAACGCCTTGTAAATGTTTGCGGCTGCTGCCTAAAACACCAAGTTTTAATTCTGGAAGAGACCTAACTTGTTCTTTTATTCGTACCAGTCTTCATAAGCCAACGAAAATGCTGTTCAAAAAGGCGACTCGCAGAATTAATTTTCGACCGAATATTGTCACCATAATTTGAGTAGTCAATAAGGCACATTCGCACACGCCGATCACTACGCCTTATGCAGTAAGTACGATGTAGTACACAAGACGGAACAACACCGAAAAACACTACATCAAGCAACTGTTAAGAAACCTTTGCCAAATGCATGTGTATTCTCGCCTCTGCGATTGCACGTTGGAAGGCCTATTGCGTCAGGCTATTCGGCATTATTCGTAAAGTACTCGGAGCTTCTCGGAACCCTAGAGCTGCTTGGAGAGCAGCTCGAATGGTCCTCCTATGGGCGAGCGAAGCTCCTCCCAATAACTGAGATTGACAGCAAAGTTAAAAGTACAGAAGCTTCGATTCTTATCAGTCTTCCAACTCAACTGCACCTCGTACTACATCACCTGAGAGGACAACCAGGCTGGAGGAGAGAGATTAATTAAAGTTGCCAGACTTTTTAGAAAACTATAAAATAAATTTCTACAAAATTTTTGTAGATACCAATTTTGTTTAATTTCATTGTGAACTGAATGTTTGGAGCACAGTTTTCCTTGAGAACTGTGAGCAATTTATCAGAACAATAGTGTCTTAAAATTATTAATTTCTATTCTGTCTATACATTTTTCAACTTTGTCCCGGTATTTGGCCTTTTATTTTTAATTTTTTCTTTTGTATAATTCTTCGGTTTAAATTGACTATTGTTTAAATATTATATTTATTTGTTTTCATATTTAAACCTGAAGATGTAAATAATTATTTTCCGAAACGTTACTATTGCCACGATGAATTACATATAATATACTGTAATTATATTGCATTTTATGTAAACAGTTATCATTCAGCAATTTTCTTTCTTTAAAATAAAATGACCAAATACAGTGGCAAAGTTACAATATTGTCTCTTTACTATCTACGTAGTAAGACGAGAAAGTAAAAATTAGGTAATGAGAAAGGGTGATTTTTTTTTAAGAGTTTTCGCATTATTTCCTCTCGAGTGTAATGTATTTTTTGCTTTTTTAAAAATGGTTCCAAATGTTTTCTTTATTTTTTGCCTCCTGTAAAGGGAGCTTAAAAATGGAACAACGCGATTTTTTATCGAACTCTAAATTGTCGAAAATTGCATAAGTTAAAAATATTACGAGGAACCACCAGGAAAGATGGTTCATTGTTAACCATTAGGAAAGATGAGAATGCGGTCCCTTCCGAAGCTAGAAACATTAGTTGAATTAGTATACAGTGGAAGGCCAAATTATTATGCTCACTTTAATTTTTTTCTATTCTTGATATTATTTTTATACATACCCTTTATTATACTACAAAATAATCGCTATGTCGATTTCCTGTAACTGTTTTGTCATATGGAGCCTAGTTTGAGATATTGGTTCACTTGTAAAGCAATTGGTACACATATTTTATCATTACTTACAGAACAAATTATTTAGCAGCTGTTTCGTATTAGCGTTTTATAGACGATTTCTTGTACAAATTGTGAGTAAATTTGAATGGACTGATTGAGTTGTGTATGTACTGCTATTTTAATGTATTCATTGCACATTTTCATTATGTATTAACAACGCGCATAAATACTTAAAGACATATTTACTCTGAATCTCCAAATTTGAAATGTAAAAGACTACAGATATTACATCAAAGAAAAAATCTAAAATCAAAGCTTTAATTCAACACTCTTGTTATTCTCAGAGACAAATAGCGCAAATTATGCATGTATCTCAAGCTTCAGTAAATTATGTTAACAAAAAAAGTCGAAATTGGAGAGCCCCTAACTTCTACATGTAAGGGGCATGTGGAAGATAGCGAATTACGACACGAAGGGATGATAGACAAATCAGGAATACATGTTTGAAAAACAGAAAGAGTCATTACGAAGATTGTTCAAGATTCCGACATTTGTATTTCGGAAAGAAT